TCTTTTCTTCTTTCTTTCTTTTTTTTTATTTCCCTCTGCCGGTCTGCCGCCTTGACAGTGGCCAACATAGGTTGCCGGCCCTAGGTGAGGGCGTCTCGGCCCTCGCCGGCCACAGCGAGGGCCCCGAGCCCTCACCCAGTGATCGACAAGGGCATTGCAGCAGTCATTAAATGAAAGAAAAAAAGAGAAGAAAGAAAAGAAATTCAAAAGAAATTATTAAAATATTGCAAAGCTTGTCCCCGTCAGCATCGGTCATGCCACGTAGGACGGTCGGCATCCACGTCAGTGATTTCTGGCTAAAATTGGCAGGAATGACTATATTGGCAAAATGTTTATGATTGAATTGACATCCGTATAATATATTTATGACTTTTTTTTTCTGGCAATTATCCCGAAAAATTTGTGATGGGCTAGGCCGTCTCTTCATGGTTGCTTGTTGTCCAATTCTTAACAGAAAGGAAAGAAAATTCCGATGAAATACTTTTCTTTGGATAATATTTGGACCTCGTGCTTGAACCTGTTCAATGAATGACAAACCCAACACGGCATCGAAGTGCTGCAACTCAAATCACGCTAACCTCTTGGCAATGGAAAGCAGGCCATCGACTATCTATTCTATTGTGATGTTCAAAGAAGTTCCGGGGTCGTCTATTTGGTTGTTGATCGTATTCTTGTTTTGAGCTTGTACGGAGGAATAGTTCACCCGCAATTCTCTTTGTTTGGGGCGCAATGAAGACGGCTTACTTATCGAAATAAAACAGTTATGGGATCCACAAGATACACACATAAGTACGACGTATATTCGAGACTTTACACTTGCATCGCCCGTTCTAGATACCGTATGCTTACGAAATCTTTCTTGAACTTTAAGACTGTCCTGTTGACGAGGAAACTAGGATCTTACAATGTCATCGAAGAGGGAGATGCTGGGAGAGAGGTCATATGTCCTTTTGAAGTTTGGTGAGGCAAATTAGGGTTCTGTCCAGAGGGTGGTGGTTAGATTTTGCACAGTGGATGATTGAGAGAAATGCAGCAGACGAAGCGTTGGAGATTAGAGGCTTCGATAAATCATATGGTCATTACATCCAAGCCGATACGATTATCGGCAATCCTTTGGAAAGTTTGCCGGTATATATTGTTGAGAATCCAAGACTAGAAAGAGATTGAATGATTTGTTGCAATAGTCAGGTGCTGCTGCATCGAATGACTAGCTTTGGGTTCACTTAGGAGAAAACTTATTAGATTCATCCATGCACGGATGATCAATCTATTCGCGGTTTAATCAATTATGATGTACTGGACTGAACCCCTCTTCGTCGTGAAAAAAAATTTGATATAATGCGACACGATTTCCAAAACTTGATATGCTCTACAGATATACAACTTAGGTTGACAGAGAAAAAGAATTGACTGATCACAAGCTCAATGTAGATTACATCGTCCAAATTTTGCACTTGACGATGCCATCATTCATTTCTCACGAATTTTGATGTATTATTACATCAGTTTGCAATAATTCGTTGAGGCAGGGTTAGTCTTAGGTTGCAAAAATGTCTCTCTGCACCGCCATAAGGCATATAATCAAACGAATATTGGTAAAGCGCAGGGTGTTGAATCCGTGAAACATCGATCACTAATCAGACATCGTGAACGTTCAAAAGGTCAATATTTTAAGACAAAGAACGATTGGTCAGATGGCAAAATTAAGTATAAACACACCTTTGTGTTGGGTATCCTAAACATGAAGTTATGATCTTCAAGTTATGGAGTATAATGAGATTGTCTAATACAAGTTTCCCCATGTACAATGCCCATAGACTCCTTCACGCTTCTGAACCGAATGCACTTGATGGATGATGCTTGTAACTTTTCTACTGTACTGAGCTTCTAGCAGGACTTTTCTCCCATGTAAAGTGACTGCCGCCATGAAGGCATAGTTGTTGTCTATCCCCAGAGAAAGTTATATAGAGATAAGTACAATGATTAAAGATTGAAGTGCCTTCTTAATCATGTATAAAATTTTCTTGTTAGGCAGTCCTGCATCACCAAAAGTCAAAATGGTAGGAGCAAGTAAGGTTTGGTAGAGTCATAATAGCAATCATTGCATTAAGCGTTTGGTCTGCTATATCTCATCTTCGTTCACGTAATTGTATGAGTCACAGGTGCACAATTTCAATTCCAAGGCAGGAACATCATGGGATTGCACAGAAAATCTACCATTTTGATCAATTGGTAGCCAAGTCAAAAGAAACCACCCTCTTTCTGTGGCCTTCAAAGAGGGGAATGAACCCAACTTTCCCAAATGCTGATCTAGTTTCTTGGGTCAAGAAACCAATCAAAACATGAAGCACGTGCACAGGAAGCTAATTCTCACACTGCTTACAGTTCTCATCTTCCCTCTCTGCTTCGATCCAAATGAAGCTGCAAAAACTGGAGGCAAGCACTTTGTGCTGGTACACGGGGCGTGTCACGGAGCGTGGTTGCTGGCCCTAGGCAAGGGCGTCTCGGCCCTCGCCCAAGCCCTCGCTGCGAGCACTCGCCCAGTGATCGGCGAGGGCAATGCGGCCATCATTAAATGAAAGAAAAAAAAAACACGAAAAAAAGAGAAGAAAGAAAGGAATTGAGAATAAATTATTAAAATATTGCAAAAGATGTCTCCGTTAGCGCCGGCCATGCCATGTAGGACAATCGGCGTCCACGTCAGCGATTTCTGGCTAAAATTGGCCAAAATGACTAAATTGGGAAAATGTTTATGAATAAATTGGCCAATTGACAGGTTTATTATTGAATTGACATTCGTACAAAAGATTTATGATTTTTTTTTTTTTGCAATTATCCCGAAAAATTTGTGATGGGCTAGGCTATCTCTTCATGATTGCTTGTTGTCCATTTCTTTACAAAAAGGACAGAAAATTCCGATGAAATACTTTTCTTTGGATAATATTTTGACCTCGTGCTAGAATCTGTTGAATGAATGACAAACCCAACACAGCATCGAAGTGCTGCAACTCAAATCACGTTAACCTCTTGGAAATAGAAAGCAGGCCATCGACTATCTATTGTGATGTTCAAAGTTCTTTTGGTTGTACGTCGGAATAGTTCACCCGCAATTCTCTTTGTTTGGAGCGCAATGAAGACAACTTGCTTATCAAAATTAAAAAATTATGGGATCCACAGGATACACTCAAAAGTACACTGTACACCATATATTCGGGTTAATTCCAAAAAAAAGCATCAACTTTAGGTCGAGAGACAATTTTGGCCCCGAAATTTTTTTTGTTCCATAAAAAAGCATCAACTTTAGGTCGAGGGACAATTATGGCCCGAACTTTTTTTTGTCCCGTAAAAAAGCACCAACTTTAGGTCGAGGGACAATTCTGGCCCGAACTTTTTTTTGTCTCGTAAAAAAGCATCAACTTTCACTTAAATCCCAAATCTGGCCCTTATTGACTTAAAACCATTAATTTTCCAACTTGATTATTCCACCTTAGCAATAAATCCACGTGACTTGCTGACTGGATTTAAAGCATTATTCATTGTCTTATTCTCTGAACCATAGCTTGAAGAATAACGGCGAAACTGTTCGTCTCTTTCACTTCATCGGCAAGTCAAAAATATCTCCAGATTGAATCTTTTTGGCCAAACTTCGTCGTTTTGTCGTAATCTGAAGCTGTAGATCACCGTCCGTCGACAGACGCCATGGAAGAGATTCGTCAGGCTCACCACCATAACTTTTTTTCTCAAACAAGGGTAACTTCAGACAGAAAGTCAATGGGGGGCCAAATTTGAGATTTAAATGAAAGTTGGTGCTTTTTTACGAGACAAAAAAAAGTTCGGGCCAGAATTATCCCTCGACCTAAAGTTGGTGCTTTTTTATGGAACAAAAAAAAGTTCGGGCCAGAATTGTCCCTCGACCTAAAGTTGGTACTTTTTTTTGGAATTAACCCCCGTATATTCAAGACTTTACACTTGCGTCGCCCGTTCTAGATATCGTATGCTTACAAAATCTTTCTTGATCTTTAAGACTGTCCTGTCGACGAGGAAACTAGGATCTTACAATGTCATCGAAGAGAGAGAGAGATGCCGGGAGAGAGGTCATATGTCCTTTCGAAATTTGGTGAGGCAAATTAGGGTTCTGTCCAGAGGTTGGTGGTTAGATTTTGCACAATGGATGATTGAGAGAAATGCAGCAGATGGAGCGTTGGAGATCAGAGGCCCCGATCAATCATATGGTCATAATGTCCAAGCCGATACGATTATCGGCAATCCTTTGGAAAGTTTTTTTTTTGGTAAGGTGGCAATCCTTTGGAAAGTTTACTAGTATATATTGCTGAGAATCCAGGACTAGAAAGAGATTGAATGATTTGTTGCAATAGTCAGGTGCTGCTGCATCAAATGAATAGCTTCGGGTTCACTTCGGAGAAAAAATATTAGATTTATTCATACGCAGGTGATCAATCCATTCGCCGCTTAATAAATTATGATAGGGGGACTTATGTGCTCCATCTAGTAATATGCTTGGTTTGATGTCGTAGAGAATATATAAGAATGAGTTTCTCTTAAGATGTATCGGACCGGACGCTTTATTCGTCGCGGAATACAACTTTATAATGCGTCATGATCCATACTTTTAAGTTTAAGGTGACCTATTTATCACATATTTACATAAATGTGGGTTAGAATATGGATTTGTGACTCATTTTGACAGCCTTATTATTAAGGCACAAACGTTGTTTATTCCCCAAACAAGCTGTAGAGATAACTCCAATCATTATAGATCGAAGTGCCTTCTTATCATGTATGAACAATTGGTTGTTAGGCAGTCCTGCATCACGAGGAGTCTGAATGGCTTAAGCTAAAGATAAAGATGAGAAGTTTGGCAACATCTTAGCTTAATTCGGGGGAGATGGAGATATTCTACATAGAATGTCAAAGAACATGACATGTCATTGACTATAATTACACCGGTTATCTACTGCTGGGGGTCGGGGGCGGCGGCTATTTTCAGGTAATTGTATGAGTCACATGTGCACGATTTCAATTCAAAAGGAGGAATATCATGGGATTGCACACAAAATCAACCTTATCAATTGATAGCCAAGTCAAAAGAAACCACCCTCTTTCTGTGGCCTTCAAAAAGGAGGAATGAACCCAACCTTCCCAAATGCCGATCCAATTCCTTGGGTTAAGAAACCAATCAAAACATGAAGCACCTGCACGGGAAACTAATTCTCACACTGCTTGCAGTTCTCATCTTCCCTCTCTGCTTCGATCCAAATGAAGCTGCAAAAACTGGAGGCAAGCACTTTGTGCTGGTTCACGGGGCGTGTCACGGAGCGTGGTGCTGGTACAAGGTGGCGACATCGCTGAGATCGTCCGGCCACAATGTCACGGCGATCGATTTGGCCGCTTCCGGCATCGACCCAATTCAGGCTAGCTCGCTTCGATCGATTTCCAACTACTTCAAGCCCCTAAGAGATGTCATGGAAGGTCTATCTTCACAGGAGCGAGTGATCCTTGTTGGCCACAGCTTGGGTGGATTGGCTCTTTCTCATGTGATGGAGAGATACCCAAAGAAGATTGCAGTTGCTGTGTTTGTCAGTGCCATGATGCCTGGCCCAATACTTAATGCCACTACGGTAAACTCGGAGGTACGATGATTGTGAATCAGTCCTATCGTAGATGCGATTTCGTTAGGAAAATTACCAAAAAAGTCATAAATCTAGTGCACCAGTGTCAATTCAGTCCTAAACATTTTAATTGTGTCAATTTAATTCTAAACTTTTTTTCATATTTTGCCAATTGAGCGAAAATTGCTAACATGGAAATCAACACCGACGTGAACATTTTTTAAATAATTTTTTTGAATTTTTGAATTTTTTTGGCTTTTTCTTTTTTCTTTTTTTCATTTTTTTTTGTTTGGAATGAGGGCTGGCAATCCTTCCCGGCACTGGTGAGGGCGTCACGGCCCTTGCTTGATGCACAGCGCTGACAAGGGCTTGGACGAGGGAATTGCGGCCCTCACCTAGGCAGCAACCGTTGCTAGCCGTCAATCCAAAACCAAAGAAAAAATAAAAAAAAATTACTAAAAAATTATTTAAAAAATGTCCTCACAGCGCCGATTGTGCCATGTAGGACGGCCGGTATCCACATCAGTAATTTCCGACCTAATATTGGTTGGATGGACTTAATTAGCACAACGTGAAAATGTTCAGGACTAAATTGACGCAATTAAAAAGTTTATGATTGACTTGGCACATTTGTAATAGGTTTTGGACTTTTTAAGGCAATTTTTGCCAATTTCCTCTATCAGAATTCAATTCCGGTGACACGGCAATAGCAAAACAAACAAAATAAATAGATAAACTACCTAAAATCAATCAATGTTGCGGAATTTCATATCATTCGGTAGCTTTTTTTTTTTTTCAAAACTAATTAAAAAGCAGTTATTTCCTCAATTTAACTGCTATGATGACTTTTCTGCTATTCCTTGTGACCGAAGGTATTCAGAAGAATAGGTTCTCTTGGAGACAGCCGCTATAGCTATGACAATGGGCCAAACAACCCTCCGACCGCCTACACGTTCGGCCCGATGTTCTTGGCCTCAAGGGCCTATCAACTCAGCCCAATTCAGGTTACCCCGAAAATTATCAAAATCAATCAAATTGAAGCTTGTTCTGACCCCCCAAAAAAAAAAGATCAAATTGAAGCTTCTCTTTCATGAAAAAGAAAATTTTCTTTTGGTAGGATTGGACGCTGGCCAACACGTTGATGAGACCGCAACGCTTGTTCAGCGACGAGGACCTGACGAGGGAAATAACGTTGTCCGACCGGAATTACGGGTCTGTCCGAAGGGTTGCTGTTATATCCGAGGATGATAAGCTGGCTGACAAGGACTTAATGCTGTGGATGATCGAGCGTAATCCACCGGACCAAGTGCTGGAGATCAAAGGGTCAGATCATATGGTCATGATGTCCAAGCCCACGCAATTGCTGGCCCTCCTTCAAAACGTTGCCAATACTACCCATTACTGATATGTTCTGGGCCTGTGGCCTCCGACATATTCTTGCTTAGCGTTTATTTTCTGGATGCGAATAAGATTTCCATAACGTAAGGATCTGTTCTTGTATAGGGTGGATTAATTATGGAAATCCCACATGCACATGATCGGATGTGGATATAAACAATGGGCTTAATCAAAGCTCGATACATATTATCATATTATACATATGTGCTAGTGCCCTCCACAATAATGACAGTTTATTGTTCATGCACTATAATGTCCCACTCCATCGCTAAACAACGATTTTGCACATCATGCCCGTCTTTGCTTTTGTCGATCCGAGTTCGAGATCCATCACTCTGATACCTTGAAATGGTCGATTTGGATGTTCTCGACCTCTTGCTTCTTGTAGTCGCTGCGGTTTCTCGTCGCGAAGAACACGCCCCAGTTGAACTCCTTGTACTTGGGAGGATTCTCCTCGTTCGTTATCTCGTCCAGTGGCTTCACCGAGACATGATGGCCTGGGAAGAAGAAAAATGGAATGGAGAACCTCTCCTTCTCTGTGTTAACCACCACTCTGTGCTCCGCGCTCCAGTATAAGTCGTTTGTCCAAACCTGCACGAAAAGCTTATCCTTAGGTCGTTTAATAGGAGCGGCAAATCGACTAGCATTTCTTAACTCTCATTAAGTGTATAGTGTGCGAAGTTTCATCCTTTCGTCATTGAAGTCAGGATCGTGAGAAAAGAGTAACATAGATATGCATGTTTACTGAATTTTTCAAGCAGCAGATGCTCAATCACCCCTCTAAGATGGGGATTTCTCATTTCAAATTGTTGAAAGAAGAAATTTCCTGAGCCTAGCATGGCAGACACGTACCACTACCAATAATTTTATTTTGGTTCCAAAATCCCACAAATATCACAATGAATGTTTATTGCTTCAGCACATGTGCATATCTGTATTTGAGCAAGTAAATGAACCCAATTGCTAGAAGGTGATGAAGATCAGATGAATCCACCAAGAATCCCGATGATATCGCGTAATCAGTACATGTTCCTCCAAAAACTATATCTGCTCCTTTTGTCAGGGGCTTTCATCAAGTCCTCGTGATATGAGTGTCATCGCCATCACAAGTTCAAAGATTCTCGTGCTCCACCATGGAGCATTCACAGTTTTGCCAATGTCATACAGGACTGATGCATGCATTTTTGTGTTGATTTCATCACGACCACTTACTCTTCTTCACTAGTAGTTAATTAAGGACACAAAAAGGAAGTTCACGGATAATACCTGCATAGCATTGCCAAGATTGATTACATAAGCGTCCGGTGTCGGACTTATTGAAATCCACTCTCCATCTGATCTCCGCTGTATCTGGAGCCCTCCCACGGAGTCTTGGGAAAGAACGGTCAGGGCCCCACCATCCTTGTGCCGGCCGACCCCGAGAGCCAACTCAGGCTGAGGGCATGGAGGATAGTGATTGAACCTGAGAAAGCTGGTCTGCTCTTTGAAGTAGCCATTAAATCTATCCGCTGGCAACCCCAAACTCAGAGAGATCAGTTCCAGCAACTTGAAAGCAAGTTTCTCCACTTCTCTGGCATACTCCTCACATGTCTCTCTGCACCAATTATGTTAAAATGAAGCCTCGCAAGTCCAAACTAAGGTAGATGCCAGAACAAACTGCACTGGCATACTAACATTTCAATTCAAAACTTTTAGCTAGGTTCCTGCGAATCTGTCTTATTTATTCGTCATAAAATTTTCCACATTTCTCGATGGAGTCCAAGTTTCTTAGGCTTCTAGACACTCATATGACAATCCAAGTACGTCGCTCCGACTGAACGGACATAAACTGGTAATCAGCCATGGCTAACTAAACAACACATCGTGTCTAAAAGATAAAAGAGCGAATTTTAAAGAGGCCACTTATCAGCAAAGAGAAGAGTAATCAAAGAAACAATCACAATATTATTACACGCAAGCACTTCTTTTCTACAGAAACATTAATTACATGATCGAGAGGAATTCTAGCTTGCACCTGAATTGTGGGGGGTTTTGAGGCCACTGATTGGTCAGCTTCCTCAGGGACTTGTCCTCAGGGTGAGACAGAGCAGGGATCAGAGTGGGGTCCTGCAAGAAGAAATCAAACACCTCCTTCCAGTCCCTCACGTTCTTGGTGTGCTCGCTGTCGTGATACCCCATGGGATGAACCTCGTCCCTCTTCACTTTCGTCTTCTCCTCCAGGGGCTGGTCGAAGAACTCCTTGACCAGTTCCTCGACCCTCCTGCGGAGGCCCAGGGGGACCCCATGGTTGATCACTTGGAAGAAACCCCACTTCTTGCATGCATTCCCGATCTCCGAGGCGAGCTCTTCTCGGGTCCTGGCCGGCGAGTCGGAGAGGTCTATCAAGGGTATGCCTTCGCCTTCGACCATCTTGAGGTTGGGCCTGTGTCCGGCTTCTTGGATGAAGGCAGAGTCGAGAGATCCCATGGGGGGGGGTGGATATGTATGGACTACGGAAAAGGCAGATATGGAGGGGCAGGGCAGTGATTTGGGAGCAGAAGCGAGTGAGAGAGTTGGTGAAGAAAAAATGGTCCACATGCTTGGGCGAGTGGGTTTTGAAGACAATATGTTCATTGAATCTGGACAAATCAATACGATGTGGAGGGAAACTACCCCGGGTTTTGTAGCTAACAGGGATCATTGTCCACATTTGACACCCAAACAGGAAAATTGTAGCATGTTTCTACCTTCGGATTGGATGAATGTCTGTCGCGCTGTAACGAGTTGGTAGCTTGCCGAAAGGAACCAAATGAAAAAATGGCTGAAATTGGGAAGATTTCTTTCTCTCTTTTTTGTCGGGTGATTCCATGGGCGGGACAGGTGTGTGACTGTTTGGTTGCCCGTCCTTTTCTTCTAGAAGCATTGGAAAGCAAGAAAGAAGAAGCAGACAATTCGACACAGCCAACGAATTAGGGCCTGGCCCGGTCCGCATTGTATTTCACAGCGGTGAGAGGTTGGCTTTACTCAAGAACAAGACGCTAGAGACCTTTTGCCGTCATGCAATATGATCATTTTTTCTCCCACTCAAAAGAGGACCTTGTGCATAAATGTCGACTAGATTTCGGACAAAATCCTTACTCGAAGATCGCAAGACATCAAATAAAGAGGTTTATTCTGCTTCGTTAAAACATCCACATAGTAGTGTACAATTCCAACGGTTGACATTCACAACCAAGTTGACATTGTTAGGAACTTCGGTGATAAAAAAGAAAAGCTCCTATAATTCCAAATTCAAACAAATGCATAGCAGCAAAAAAAGTTTTAAGCAATAATCGGGTCTAGGACTAAACTATTTACAAGCGTCTGGGTTTCATAAAAACTGAACGAAGACCTGAGAATAAGTTCCTCACGGAGCAGGCATTGAGGATGAGATGACCACATATGTCAAGTACTGCAGGCCGTCCTGGATTTTACCAACCGCTGTAGTCTGATTAGCCCGGAGATGCTCTGAGAAAGCACTGGCTTTCTCCTGGATCGATGCCTCGTGAGGAACTCCATGTGAATCTGCAGTAGCCCCTTTTATTGCTGCTGAATAAGCTTCAGCTACGTCCGAAATTCCTGCATTGCGCGTCAACACTCAAGTTGTCATGCAGGAAGCTGTACAGTGTACAGCATATTTACTCCAGAAGAGAAATCTATGTGGTGAAATTTATAGTAGTATCAAGCATCAATCAAAAGATATTCATGCTCAGATCTGATTTTCAATTCATATTATGTCTTCCTCGTGCAGAAAATAAAATTTATCTTGCTTCAAGATGATAAGGCAAATCAATGAAAGATTGGTAAAATAAAATGCCAAGGGTCTCTCTGAATCTATATTGAGGATCAATATTGCCCACTGGTGCAAATCTACGGTAATTCTTCAAGCTTCAAATACGGATGCAGAAAAATAAACGAGATAGCAGATGGAGAAACAGTGTAGTAAGTACCAACCGGTAATAAAACTGCGAGAAATTGCTTCTGCATAGACTGTCATTGACTGTGCCTTAATCCTAATAATCTTGGCCTTTTCAAGTGAATCTTCAGGCCATTCGATGTTCATCACATCCATGTCATCATCATTCTTATCTCTGCTAGTGTTGGATATGATTGATTTACCGAGCATCAGTAGTTGAGTCACCGCAAAACAGCACATCTCTGAGAGCCTCTGCATAAAATGCCAGAGACATTTCACCATCAATTAAGACATAAAGAAATGACTACATAGTGATATGCTTTCCTTAAGAACAGAAAAGTTCCGTACATGAACCCCTTCAGAGTGAAGAGCTTCCAGTCTGCTCACAGTCCTTTGAATCATTTCACCGGCTGAGAGTCCAGAGATGGCATTCGTAAATCTGCGAAAACACCAGGAGAGAGTTAAAACGGATCATTCAATATTGTCTGTTAAATCTTAGACAACTAAAGCAAGGAAAAGACTCCCTATCTTCATGATCAACTAAAAACCCCGGAGATCACTAAAGAATAATTAAGTTGTCTTAACGACAGTCTAAATGAATATCTTACTTGTGTTTATTAAAGAAACAATAAGAACAAAAAATTATAAAAAACCAAAGTGAAAAATTGTTGCTCAGTTAGTCCGCCTAAACCCTAAAACCGCATCTTCAACAATTTAAAATGAAGTCAACTTATATTGCTGAAGATCTTCAATAACAGCAGCAATGTCTCTTCTTCCTCAATGAAATGCCTCCACACACCAAAAATAAAAGGAAAATAAGAGAGAAAAGTTTATCCTGAAGCCTTGGAACTAAAGGAATCCCTAAATAAGCAGAGTAGGGTTGCTTCTCCCTGCCATTTCACGTGTACAAATCCCGTTCACCTGGTACACTCTTAAGCAGAACCGTGAAGTTCATATGCATTAACCAAATGCATGCCTCTAATGACATGGATTTTCGCATCCGTAACATCAGGGCATAAATTGACTAAAGCGAATTAACAAGAAACAATAAATTTCAGGGCCAAAAATGACAGACAAATGCAGAAAGAACAGGAAAATTGTCTTGCTCAGGCAATAACTTCTTCGCTAAAAGTAAAGCAGAATATAAACTAGATGAACACATAAGATATACAGGACTCAAAAAGGAAAAACAAAAACATTCGTTTACTTAAAATTCAACATGAAAGACAAGAAAAAAGGTAGCAACGCTAACCCTGCGGCCATGTCAGCAGCCTTGCTAACACTTGAATCATGTAAATTCTTCATCTCGTTATCATTTGTTTCAGGTACAGTCTCAACTTTCTTTCCTTTATCTGCCTCTGTATTACCTCCATCTACTTCATCACTAAAATTAAATATTTGCTGGACTTCTTTGAGCTTTCCATCATAAAAAGATTTCTGTTCTGAAGGCAACTTTGCTTTTCTTCGGTTGAATAACAGAGCATGGTGACTGGATAGTGCCTCCAATTCCTGAAAATTTTCCAATTAACAGTTTCTATTATTAGTACTGCCATCATTACAACCATGAATACTCATTTCTAAGAATCAGCCATCAACCTCCAGCTGTTCTGGACCTCCATATATGTAGAAGCAGCGATCAAATGAGACTTCCTCAAACAACTGATCATCCTCAGTGTACTTGTTGGTTTCCTTGGAATTCTTCTCAACTTCAATACCAGTCTCGTTAATGAGTAGATCCATCGTCTCCTTCCCAACATATTCAAGCACTTGAATTCCCTTGGCAGTAAAAGCTTTTCCAGTCTATATCACACGAATTAAGAATACTTTGTCACTTCCAAGCTGCAGCGTACATATGGCAATAGCATGATCAATGAGCTAAAAATAACAAAGATCTGAGGATACCTCGAGCAAAGATGGCGCAACAGAACCAGGTGTTTTTGGTAGACCACCTTGCTGAACGGTTTCGGCTAAGTTGGCAGCAGAATGCTCGAGCCTGAGTATTTATAGTTACACAATCCACCCAACATCAATAAATGTTAATAGCACATTATATAGAAAACATTATCATAAACAATTGAAGAAGGTGGCTGGCCTAAATCAACACCTTGGAAAGGTGTACCCATAAATCTACTTATTAATTGGCAGCAAAATGCCTATGCAATGCCCTACCAGCTTCCCCCACCCAAAAACAACAACCCAATTTACCAAAGAGAGAGAAGAAGAAAGCAAAGGAAAGCATGCAGCACATAAGTTCAGTCATTCTTCTCAAGAAACCCTTCCAACTCGGTAACAAGTGCTTGTGCACATTGACATAAATTCCTAGTGACCTTGTAAACTCTTTTTTCCTTCTCTCACTACAACCGTCATAAACCACATAGATCACCAATCGTGCAAACAATGCTGTTAAACATACTTATGAACTAGAGTAGTGCCCCCTTTCCACGCAATTCCCAAAGCTTGCCATGCACCTGAAGCCAAATTCTCCACAGAACTATCAAAAGCCTTCAGTCCCTGCATGCACAAGAAAAGGGGTCAACCAAAAAGGCTATACAACATAAGATTATGGTGAGCATTCTTCCATAAACATAAGTAAAACAAACAAATTGAAAGCAGAGACTACCAGCATACTATCTAATCCATCAGGCACGAATATGTCAAAAGCAAAGAGAAAGCTCCTGATGATCAGCTGAAGGGAGAAAGATTTTTAGAAGGGAAAAAAAGAATTAACCTACAACCTGATGAAATAAGATACGGCACAATGAGGTACAGTCTGAATGCTAACTAATCATTGGAGCAACAATCATTTAACATCAGAAAAAAAAGACAAACTAGTGACACTCAGTGGAACAATCGTTTTTTCAATGGAACATGATTGGTGCACGATTTTTATGGGAAAAGCACGCATCTGAGAACCAAGGGATAAAAAGGATAAATAGACTAATGGGCTAGCTATCACGATGCAGCTGGAAAAGTAGACGAAATCTGAGAAATAGATAAGGGCACTTGACATTTATTTACACTTGCCTGACCAAGCAATGATTCTTCACTTGCATTCTCCAGCTTATCCAATGCAGATTTCCGCTGCTGGTCATTCTCATCCTCCTTTTCCTCTATTCCTGCAGACTCATCTGCCCCTTCTTCCTCCTTGGAAGAATCCGAGCCCTCATCAACGTTCTGAATGTCGGACATGCTCTTCGCAGCATTTTTAGCAACCTCAGCAGCCTACATTAACAAACCGCAGGTTAAATAAAATGCACAACCAAGGACCTCACAACGTTACAGACCTTGAAGTAAGAATTCACGGCAGTTCCCAGTAATCAGATAAGTGCAACGTTGAAACAAATTTGTAAATGATTTAATCATTGTCATAAGTAGAGGACGAACTATCGACACAACAAATTCATAAATCATTTAATCATTGTCATAAGTAATCGAGATCTTCTCCTAAGTCTGAACCTCCAAACACTGTAATAATATACAAATCGAACTATCGACACAACAAGGAACTCAGCTATTTGTGGTCATTTGCAGATCCCACCAGCAACTAATAATACCCAAACTACATCAATCAGCGTACTCTAAGAGCTGCTCATGGCCATTCTCAATTATCCCGCAACCATCTTCTACTTCCACCAACCATACATAGAAACAAATCACCGTTCTAGCCAACAACACCAGATCCGACACCTGAAGAATCTAACCAAATCAAAACGGACAATGCACTCTGTTCCAGCTTCCGAAATCCTAATCCAAGCACAATGATCCTCAAAATCCATGGCAAGCAATACAAAGCCGAAAAAAGTTGTCCGACAAAACCTAACAACCAACGACGACGAAGATAATAAGATCGACAGATGGATGGAAGGGAGAAGTTTTCAAGTACATTGCGCGAAATCTCTTCCGCCGCCTTCTGGAGGTCCGACAAGACCGACAGCGGCGAGAACCCCCACCCGCCCCATCCTCCGCCGGCTTTCGCAGCTTCCGCTGCCGACGCTTCTTGCCGCTGCTTGGTCTCCTCTTCGGTCGGCGATTTCTCGTCGTCTTCCATCACGCGAAACAAGGTCTCGAGCTCGAAGCTCTGCGAGCGAAACCGCGCCGCAATCGAACTCTTGCGAAGCAGATTTGAGGCGTGCGAGAATCTCAAGATCGTGAATTCGAACTGAAATGATCTCCTGAACTACTGGGATGAGGGGATCTTTCACCGTCGCGACGTGTGCGTGAAGACATCTCCCCAAAACGACGGTTCGTACCATGCGACGCGGTCTATACGACATCGTTTCCTAACGAGAGTTACGAGTTCACAACGGCCTGTCGTTTGAGTCGCTTGTGCTTTAGATGTTTTGTATTTACCTTTTTGCTCTTCCTCTTTGAGGCATATTATACTTTTGCTTCGACCAAGAAAAAAATATTATACTTTTGCAAGCTCTTTCTAAAGGTACTAAGCTTTCGCTACGATAATCTCGAATTTGATTGAGTAAAGTCAAATTTCAATTAGAATGAAATATTCAAAATGACTAAGACTACTATCAATGTTATAATTAATCCTCAACTATGATATTTATTAAGATCATGGACTTTTTTAAACTAGGGATTTAAATTTCTTATGTCGAGATCTTTGCAATGGAATGAAGATACGAGAACTTAGAACATACATGTGTATTCAAAGAGAAAAGAGAGAAGAATATAGTGTTTGAGGGTCAAAAGGTTTTTTTTTTTTTTTGGTGGGGGGGGGGAGGTGGTGTTCATAGAAGGACAAAAGAAGTTATCCAGCTAATGTTTGAGGGACAAAAGAAATTGTCCAGCTAATATCCCAAAATGTTTCAAAGAGTAAAGATGCCTTCTCCACCACCAACTTTTTTTTACTTAATTTCTTTGGAAAATCAGGAATAGAAAATCTTAGTTGGGATTTGGATAAATGGAGATCCTTGTATATGAAAAAGAAATAGAGAAAAAAAAATTAACTACTACCAAGTATGAAAATAGTATTTTAATGTTATTAGAAATATCTATTAATTTCCAAATTACAAAAACCTTAGAAATGTTGTTTTCTAGACTAATTAAAATATTATTGTGCTTTTGCATGGCACCTCATTTTTTTGCTCAACTTAAGTTAGTTTGAAAAGGGCTCTTGTTTTTTTGGGCTAATGAGACTTGAGTTGAAGAATTCTCACCATTGCTGGATAACCACATTGACTTAATTACCCGATCTTCACCATTTCTTTTGGCATTATGATTCACTTAATTACCCGATCTTCACCATTTCTTTTGGCATTATGATTCCTTCTTCGCTAGCATAGTATTGGTCTCATTTTCTTCGTCGGCATTATTTTCATCAATCACTTTACCTCTGATACAAACTGCATCCATCTAAAAAGGATTTAAAAGAAAAAAAGAATCGAGTATTGTGATTCTGAAAACAATATTTTCACCGTGAACAACTGAAATTGATGTTAAACATATCACTTTCTTGTAATCAAAATCAAGAAATTGAGCAATGAATCTTTCTTGCTTCAACACTAGGAGCTCACTTGTATTGAATTTGTAAACCGAAAAAATATTTCATATTTGTATACTTAACAGACTTCAAAATCTCAATATTACCCAAAACTTACAGTATACTAGATGTTAATTATTTGATTGAACAATATTCATCGTGCATTAAAAAGTTGCACTTCAATTACTTATGAATTATTTCTTGCTTGATTCTTATCACTTTCGATTTGATCCTTCAAATAAACTAGAAAGATGCCACTTTCTACTGCCCATCTCTTAGTGCAACTTGTGGTCAAAATTCCATGTCAGAAATTTTAGGCAACAGGAACCATTATGCTAGCAGCACCTTAGATGTTTTATTAACCTTTTTGCCCTTCCTCTTTCCAAATAACGAGACGGGTCATATTATACTTTCGCAAGCACTTTCTCTATAGGCCTTCGCTACAATAACCTCGAGTTTATTGATTAAAGTTAAATTTTAATCCGAATGAAATATTTAGAAAAATCAAGAAATTGACTGCTATCAATGTTATAATTGGCCCTCAGCTATGATATTTGTTACGATTATCCGTTTAATTGAACCGGGTATTTAGATTTCTTATGTCGAGATCTTTGCAATCGAATAAAGATATGGAAACTTAGAACACACATATATAGCCAAAGAGAAAAGAGAGGGAGAAAACGGTGGTTGAGGGACAAAAGAAGTTGTCCAGCTAATATCCTGAAATCTATCACTAGTAACATATCGCAATGGCTTACTTATTGTAGGCACTATGCAAAAAAAAAAAATGCGACCATAGTTATTTTCAATCTCCACTATAAAATGAACGTGTAGATTTTTCTCTGAGACTTAACATCACGACAGAGAAGATAGCCAAAAATACATCAATGGTAGAATATTTAGTATCCCGGGAACATTGGAGGTGGCGGGGAGGAGTATTGAGATCCAAATGTTGGTGGCAGGATGATGTCGTCGTAGCTCGGTGGTGGGGGAGATTGGGCTGCCGGAGGAGGTGGAGAGAAGACCGGAGGCGGTGGCGAGCTGACCGGCGGAGGCGGGGAGTGCACTGGTGGTGGGGGGGAGAAGACCGGTGGTGGCGGGGAATGGACAGGTGGTGGAGGAGAGTGGACTGGTGGTGGTGGGGAGTGGACTGGTGGGGGAGGAGAGGGGACGGGTGGCGGTGGCGGTGGGGAATGAACCGGTGGGGGAGGAGAATGTACAGGTGGTGGTGGGGAATGGACAGGGGGTGGAGGGGAGTAGACGGGGGGTGGTGGAGAGTGGACTGGTGGTGGCGGCGGCGGCGGTGAGTAGACAGGGGGCGGAGGAGAGTGGACGGGCGGTGGTGGGGGGGAGAACACCGGTGGTGGAGGAGGAGAGTGGACGGGTGGTGGTGGGGAGTGGACGGGCGGTGGTGGAGAGTGCACGGGTGGAGGCGGGGAAGGAGACGGTGATGGAGGCGGTGGAGAGTGGACCGGCGGAGGTGGCGAAGGAGTCGGTGAGGGAGGCGGTGGGGAGTGGACCGGTGGTGGCGGTGGTGGAGAGTAGACTGGTGGCGGTGGGGGTGGAGATTGGACCGGCGGAGGCGGAGGCGAGTAGGCCGGTGGAGGTGGAGAATATGCACGGCCTCCAGACTTGGGAGGAGAAGGTCCATGACCCGGCTCAGGTGTAGGTTTTGATGATGGGGCTGGTTGGGGAGCCGCTCTCGGTGGCCTAACACGAGGGATTGATCCATTATCTGTAGGTGATGGAGCGGAAGCCGGAGGTTGCTTGGGTTGGCTAGGCACCGAAGACTTGGGCGGAGAAGCGAAAGAGCCCGAAGGTGACTTCGGCGTCGGGGATGATGAAGGTGGGGGGGTTTGTGATTTCGGCGTCGAAGGTGTAGGAGCCGAAGGCGTAGGTGTTGTTGGTGTTTGTTTAGGAGGTGATGGTGATGGTGACTTGGTTTCGGGTGGAGACTGGACAGGAGGCTTCGGGGCCGGGGGACGCGTTCTGCTGCCCGGGGACGACGATGACGGGGACGAGGATCCGCCTCTGCACTTGTCCTTGCTGCAATCGACGGGCTTGCTCACGACTGGGAAGCATGTCTTCGGCAGCTTCTGTCTCGGCCTGTTGGGCAAACAATTGCTGCCGTCGTCCAATGCCACCTCCGCGTGCGAAGAAGGAACACAGGCCTCGTCCTCCTTGGTGAAGTAGTTGTCCGAGAATGTGAAGTTCAGGAGAGTTGGCAACTTGCAAATCTTCTCGGACACCAAGCCTGTCAGCTTGTTGTGGGCAACCTCCAAAACCTCAACGGTGTCCAAGCTCGAAAAGCTCTCCGGCAAGGTACCGACAAATGAATTGTGACTGGCGTCGAATAGCGTCATTTTGTCGAGCAACCCAATCTCTTCAGGGAAGCAACCGCCTAACTCATTCTTCAAGAAGACGATCTCATTCAAGTTGGTCATGTTGCCGATGGTACGAGGGATGCAACCGGTGAACTTGTTGTGGCCAAATGTCACCGCTGATGCCGGGAATTTGCCTATCGTGTCCGGGATGGTCGAGGTGAATCTGTTGTTGTTCAGGAACAATGCGTCCAAGTCCTTCAAGAAAAGCTCCGGAGGCAATTTCCCTTCGAAGTCATTGAACCTGAGATCGAGATACTTGACACCAGGCCACGAGAGAACGACCTCTGGGAACAGACCGACGAAGCGGTTGTTACTCACGTCGAATTCGTGCATCAATTGGAGCTTGGAGAAGCTCTTCGGGATGATCCCACAGAAGCGGTTCGAGTTAAGGTGGAAGAGGGCGCTGTCCGTCAACAAGCCCAACTCCGCGGGGAGGTACCCGGCGATGTCGGCGTGGTTCAGATCAACGCCGGCGACGACGCTCAACGAAGGGTCATCGAGTGCCGGGGCGCAAAACACTCCATTGTAGGCGCACACGTGAGGGCCGACCCAGTTCCCAGTCGTATTGAAAGGGTCCGAGTACATGGCCTTCTTCCAAGCCTGGAGGGCGATATAGGCCCTCCGAAGCCTCTGGTTCGCGAAAGTCACCTTGATGTCGACCTCGTACTCGAAGTCCTGGGGGAGATCATCATTCTCCTTGAGCGACAAGAGCTGTCGGCGGGCAATGTAGGACGCCTCGGCATCGGAGAGGGCGAGGGAGAGGGTGGAGAGGGAGGAGAGGAGGAGGGAGAGGAGGAGGAAGCAGCCCGAGGCCATCATGTTGACACGGGTACCCATTGGAAACCACCTTGGTCAGGCCCAAGGCTGCTTATAGGAGGTGGGGTGGGGATATGGACAGGGTGTTATATGGAGGAAGGGGAAGGGGAGGGGATTGACAGTGCGTTGAGAGGCTGTACAAGGGACTCTCAACTTGTACCTTCCTGAAAACTTGGATGCACCTCTCATTCTCGTGACAAATATAGGGTGGAGGTTATAAATTCCCAAAACTCAAAACGACCTCTTTGACAGAGAGAGTTTGTTTTTGTTTCTGGTCAGTATCATCCTGTGGGCGAAATCGTTTGCCATTTTTGACGAATGCCCTTTTCACCTCCAGATCATATAAGAAGAGAATGGGAGGATGCCATGTTTTACTCTCTACCGCCACCATAGGCTCAAATGACTTCTCCGTCTGATGCATTGTACCTTCTGAAGTTCTCTTGAAGAAGAACTCATCATGGGCTTAGGAGATGATACTGAGAATCACTATTCACTATCCAAGCATGTAGATGTACAAGTAGCCTGCTAAGATCATTGAAACATTGATCAAGGGAATGTGAGCAGGAGAAATTGATTAATAAGGTTTTGGTACAAAAATTTAACTAATTTAGGTGATGATTGAAATCCTCACTGATTTTCTTTTCAGACGCATACAGATGGTGCAACATGGCTTGCAATTTATCAAACCAATAACAATAATAATCGGGTTATTAGTGAAAATAATAAACCGCGCGAAAAATCTCTAGAGTTAGATCAGACGATAGACCGTGGAGACTAGCAAGTGAAATTAAAAGCATGCAAATATAACTTTTAATCTTTTATTCTTATGCATTCAACCTTCACATATTGGTCATGATCAGCCTATTTGTTGTACATCTTGCAAGTTCCATTTCTCTTTCATACTTTCTTTCTATGTCAAATCTCAAGCAACACAAAGCATACCGATTGGGCAACACTTTCATCCTTTGAGCTGGTTCTGTATGGATGTGAGCCTGTAAGTTTGTGTCTACCTATTTCATTTGGTAAGCAACGGCCTCTCTTTTCTGAATTTTTACACTTCTGGCAGCAAAACACTCACTACCACCAGAGTAGATGCGAAATTCGTGTCGAATCAGGTTACTTCAACATAGATCATACCGCAGTGAAATAAGTTGAATCAGATAGTTTACAATGCTGCATCTTCCCAACAGATCTCCTGAATTGGAGAATTGCAGCCGGAAGAGTTATTTTCCGGCCGCGACAAGCCAACCTGGTAGATGTTGGGAGAGACGATGCCAATGCACAACTCTTATATGATCCATATTTACACAGACGGCAGCCTCAATCACCATCACCTTCCCAGCTACCACCCCACCACTATTTACCTAGAACAAAACTCCTCACTCTTATCAGCAACACATTCCATATATCCACACTAACCGGAAACTTTAGCTCAAACTTGCACAAAATCATTTTTTAAAAAGGATTCGCTGCTCTAATCGGTTTCGTGGTCTGGGGCAGGCGAATACCAAGCAGGAAATCTGCCCTTGCTCCTGAGCAATCTCGTGTAGGGCGAATCGGGCATTCTCCCCATCTCTTCTTCCTCCAATTCTTCCAGCGACTTCGGCAATCCATCCGGTATGGGACAGTGCTTCTCCATTCCTTTCTCAGAGCTCGATGGCTTCGCCCCAGCAACTCCGTCCTTCTTAGCCTTATGGATTTCTGCTATACCGTGGAGGCACCCGATCAAGGATTTCACACCCCCTGCTTGAATGATTAGCTTCTCAACTTCTTCTTTAGGCGACTCCTTCTGCAGCCATACCAGTAATATCAGTAAACCATAGTCTGCAACAAAGCTATTGAAACTGAAATTTCTCGCTTCAAAGTAAATCAAGCGAAGCTTAAGCACTCCGACAATTCAATTTCTTTCCAATTTCGGAAACAAATTCCAGGGAGACCTTATTTAGAAACATTTGGTACTATTCTAGACAGTACTGGGAAAGCAAACATAGTTTTTTAATCAGAATTATGCGAAAGAAATTAACTGGGAAATTTTCCAGGCGTTTGTTTTCACTCCAAAGATAAGATTGACCTTCAAACTAACACCAATAAACATATCAGAGTATTGAAGACTCCTCTCTCTTTGGTTTCTTCTACCTGAAGTGAAGACCAATCTGGGCCTTTCCAATGAGTTTGAACGGGAAAACGAATAAGATCTTACCCCTTTCCTCTATTTTTCTTGTCTACCAAACAAGAACAGTACGTTACCATCAAAATCAAAGCAAGAGCAAGCGAGCTAATCCGCAGACTTACCTCGAGGTCCTTCAGTTCGAAGTAAGCTCTCCAACAGCTGTACGACCTGTCTCCTTCGAGCGTCGAACAATAATCTAAAAACAACAAGCACCCAATCAAGAACACCTCAAACGCTACAAATCCCATCCTTTCGAAAGATCCGAAACAGGAAGAAACGAACACACACACACACACACACACACACACAAACAACCGATTCTTGGAACTCGTAAAGGCACCAATAAAATAACAATAAAAATAAAAATAAAAAACCGGTCCTCACCAGCAAGTTCGTTCTCGCACTTTTGGATTAAGGGGGGCTCTCTGAGGCCGCGCTCGAGCCTGCTCCTGCTGAAAGGCTCGAGCTTCGGTATGTACGCGTTGCTCCTGGAGGACGAGGACGAGGAGGAGGAGGAGGAGCAGCGCACCGTCGGAGCGAGCCGCGACGGCGCCCCGGCGCCCGCGAGCATAGGGGACGAGCAAGAACGGATCGACACGGACTTCATCTCTCTCGCGCGACGAACCAAGAAAAGACGGCAGAGGACGTGAGATTTTTTTTTGCTCGAGCCTGTGACGAGACGTTATGGCGGTGGCGCTCCGGATTGGAGAGAAACCACGGGAGGAAGGTACTGTTAAATACGATAATACACCACCGGGGCCTACTACGAGCAGCGGGGAGCTGTGGATAAGGATCGGATATTTTATTCCGGTAGTATTGGTTCCTTTATTATATGTAGAGTTCAGCGACGGTGGGGAGAGAGGGTGCCGATGGGGACGAGCGAATCCCGGCCGTTGATTGGGAGGTGGCAACTGATCCGACGTGCACGGCGGAATGATTGGGGGTGGGGGGGGGGGGGGAGGGGGGGACCCACGGGTTTGTCTGCACCTTTCTTGCTTTTTTGGGCTGGGGTCCAAAACCTGTGGGGGAGAGGGGGGGGCCCGCGCGCGCGCGCACACACTCTCCTCTCTCTATCAAAACGCGGCGCGGTTTTGCGCGATGAATCGCCAGCGCTGAGATATTTGCAGCGCACGCCATTTTGCGTTCCGTGGGATCAGAAGTCTCCTTTTTTTAAAATGATAATGATACAAATAATCTTTAAATTTTTATTTAATATGTAATTTGATTTTTAAAATTTTAATTTATTTAATATAATTTCTGAACTTTAGCCTAATACTTAATGTGATCTCTAAATTTTTAATTTATTTAATGTGATCCCTGAACTTTTAATAATTGTTCAATTTAGTCCCTGAATTATATGAAAATGTTCAATGTAGTCACTGAACTTGAATTAATGGAAGGATTATATTGAACATTTTAATATAATTCAATGACTGAATTGAACATGTATCAAAAGTTCTGAAATGACATTGAATAAATTGAACAATTAGGAACTACATTGCATATTGGGTTATAGTTCATGGACTACATTGAACAAATTAAAAGTTCAGGGACCAAATTGCACATTAGGCCAAAGTTCGGGGACTGTTTGTGTCATTTTCCCCATTTTAAATAAAGGAAATATTATAGATGAATAAGGGTACAGATGAGATTCGTTTATTTTATAACAATAAAATCGTTTTTTTCTTTCTTGCCATTTTCGAATTTATTGAAGTACTTTGTAAGTGGGATTTTTTTTTTGTATATCATAATTCCTTTCAATGTGATCTTTTAACTTGGCTAAGTGTTTTCTTTTCTTTTGCAATTTCTTTAACTGCGAAGAGTGGAAAACTAACCCAAATAGTATGTATTATACAGGTGAAAATTGGTCATAAGTCTCCGTTTCTTTCTAGGAAAATATGATAAAATCGAACAATATTTTCCAAGAAATTAATTTTGTGGTAAAAGAGTAACATTTTTCTATGATTGACGAAAATTCAAAATCGAGTTGGAAACTGTGTTGTGAGTTGATTTCCGCCGTTTGGAATATAAAGCTAATAGGAATGAATTATTCTTACTGTAGCACTTTGTTTCATTGCTTGATTTTTATGCTTCGTTTGATAGTGATGTGTTGGATTGATGCATCTCCGATTCACACGAGTAAACTATCTTAACAAGATAATGTAATTTTAAGTAAACCTTTTTTCCATCCGGTGGATGAGATATCCTCCGTATTTTTTTTTTTTGGAAAATGACTTCCACATTTTAAGTTATGAAGTTGTTTTCGTTAGCTTTAAACTTGTATCGTATAGGCCGAAATCATTTTCCTTTGACCGATTTATTTTCCTACACCAAACACTGGTAAATAGAAAAAAGTCGTTTCCAATAAAATATTTTATTTTAAACAAACGGAACCTTACTCTCATTTATTATCTTCACATAGATCAAAACATAGAACAATTTATTTTATACACCTAATGAAGAACCCGAATTTAACCAACTCTCTCTCTCCTACCTTTTCCCTGACCCATGAGAGCTATATTTTTATGCATAAAAATTAAATTTTAGCATGCTTTATCCAAAATTTAGCAATATTCGTCAAAATTGATTCGGCATAACAGTTTATAGGTTGAAAGAATATTGATTTTGCATCAAAAGTTTAATTTAATAATTTAAAATAAAGGATAAGTTAGAATCGCTTTTTAAACTATGAAAATCAGAAAATTTTCTATGGAAATGGTGGATTATTTCAATTTCGTTTTCGACACAAACAAATTCTGATACTCGTGAAACAAGAACATGCAAACATTGATCTTGAATAAAAAGGAGCTCTCTTTTATCTCATTTTTCAAGAACACACACAACCCTTTCTTTCAAACGAAACCAAGGACAAGTTGATCGTTCGTTCATGCAAGAGTCATCCTCTGCAATACAAAGATCACCAACTCTTTGTCATTGAATTTTGCAAGGCTTGGGACCAGACGTTCGAATCCGAATGCGAACATTACAGCATTCTGTTTTGAAATCCATGATTCGGGTCGTGATGAGTACAAACATACCTGCGAAAGCAACGTTCAGGCTGTTAGAACTCGCAGTCTGCCTCTGCGGCAGCCTCCTCGTGTTTCCTTTCCAGCCGGCACAGCATGTTAGAGCAACAGGGGACAGAGCCACGCTGTTGAGGACCTTTTGCCTTATTTGGAAACTTCTCCACCAACTTTGATTCTCACAAGCAAGGACGAAGACAATCTTGAGTCCAACTTATATGAGTTTCGCCACGAGGCGGGTCTCCTCCATTGTTGCAGTGGGAAAGCTCTGAACTGAGAAGGGAGCTCGCTGAAGAACAAAAAAGGGTCGAGGAAGAGCAACGATGAGTCGGGTTCAGGACGAGAGAGCCTGCTTCTGCAAGTTCCTCCTCCAAAAGGAACCCATGCAGCACCTTGTCATCTTCACTCCTCTGTATTCTCAGACATGTTTTTTTCCTAAGTCTCGTTGTTTCATTTTTTGTTCTATCGGCAGGTACTTGTGAAAAAGCCCTGTAGTTTATTTCTGAGTTTGTTTCGAAGAACTAGTGTCGCTTTCTATCTTTTTGCTGTGTCAAGCATGGTCTAGTTTTTCTATGTTACTGCAGCTAAGAGAGCACAAGGATTGAACTTGCTCGAATCACAGTAACTTCTTTTAGTGCCATCTCGAATGATAGCTGTTTTTATCCCCTCTTTTTTTTTTTTTTTACACTTTTTGCCGGCAAGAGGCATATAGTTGGGTCCCAATACCTCAAAGCCAGATTCTTTCTGATTTTCTTGGCTAGAATAAAGGAATAAAGATTTGTCCTGGCGTGGGACAAATTCATGTTTGTTTGCAGATAAAAATGCAAGAGAAAACAGAGACTGTTTCCTTGCCTTGTGCATATGATTTACAGGACTCCTGAAAGTGAAAGCAATGTTATGTTAATGCCAGAGGGAGTTGTCACGCTAATCGCCCCTCCCCACCCTTTTCAACTTATAAGAAAATAGAAAAAAAACATGCTGCTTTTGTTTCACATGCCAGTGTCTTGTTCTAATACTTCCAAAGTTTGGTTCTGTGGATTGAGTAGATATGTTGGTCACTGCTAGTTTGTAGGGTTATACATTTTACTGATGCCGGTTGAATTTAATAAGTTAAGCGTGAAGATGATATATATTTCCTCCAGCCTCTTAGAGTCAGAAGAAATTATTCTGTCATGCATTTATCTCAAAATTAACTGCTTAGCATGTTATTTTCGGTATCATCACCTAATGCCGATCAAAAGCAATGCTGCATGTAATTAGCGCATCGAATTCACATTCAAGTACATTCAGTGAGATGCATGCATTTGATTATTCACTGAGTCAAAGCTGTAGTGGTTGCTTTCAGTCTCTCTTGTGTCGCTTGATTCATGAATTTACTCAATCCTTTTGTTATTCGCACTTCTTCAATTCCCATGTTTAAAACGGTATGGTAGGCAGGGTATTTCATGTTTAATTGTTTGTTTAATGATCACTCGGCTACTACAGCCTGTATCTTGCACTCTGAAATCCACTAACCACAACATTTGCTCGATTATAATGCAGAAAATCCTGCCAAAGTTTTCAAGGCTATATTCTGAGAAACTTCCCGATAGAGTGATCTTAAAGGGTCCATCTGGCGAAAATTGGAATGCCAAATTACGCAAGGACATCACTGGCATGTATCTACAGGATGGATGGCGAAAGTTTCACATAGACAACTCCCTTGGAAACAAGGAGTTCTTGCTATTCAAGTACGATGGGAAGAGAAGCTTTGAAGTGCAAATTTACGATCCGACTGGATTGGAGAGAGTTGATATTCCTGTTACAAAAAGCAAAGAAACAAACCTTCATAGTGAGAAAAGACCAAGAGGCAGACCCAGAAAGTGTCCTGTTGGCACCCAAAATCCCCCTCAGTCAACATATCCCACCTCTCAGGCTAAAGCACTTGGTCCTTTTCTTTGGCAGACTTACATAGGTGCAGGTGCAGATAATTACATGTCCTGAATTTACTAAAACGAATTATTTTTTCCTACCATATATATCATGGCGCAAAAGCAGCGATTTACATTTACATTGGACAGGCCAGCATAATCCAGAAGTCGAGCCAAACAAGCTTGGGAAAATCAAAGAGGAGGAAGAAGAAATGGACCTTCCTGTTGTTAGAATGAGTTCACAGCCCCGCAAACACAAACAGAAGAACAAGCAAAGGCGAGTCAAAGCTGGAAAACCCGCTGCAGGTTTCCCGGTCTCCAAATCGATATTCAAATGCCATTCTGTAGAGAAAAATGCTTCTCAATCGGAGGTAAATGCAAGGCTGAGAGCAGTAGAAGAGATGTTCACTTCAAGTTCCCCTACTTCATAACTTACATGAAAATATACGGTGTTAAGATGGTGAGACTAATGGTTAGTATTTACTTTATATCCAACACTCTTATCTCATAACTTGTGTCATTGTTAGTCCCTTCCTTTTCTCCAACATTGAGTGTGTGGCACATACAAATGCAGTATATTCCGGGGGCGTTTGCTCAAGTGCATATTCCATGGGAAATGGTGAACGTTGTCCTGCGAAATCAGGAAGGGAAAACTTGGGAAGTGGTCTGCATGAAAAATAGGGACCGGCATCATTTTTCTGCAGGGTGGTCGGCCTTTGTCCGCGACAACAAGCTGGGGCCTGGAGATGTATGCGTGTTCGAGCTTCTCCCGAACAAAGATTTCCTGGTTACAATATTTCGTTCACCAGAAACTTCGACCGCACGAATGAAGATGCAGTTATCCACAGTACATACTCTCTAGACTATGGTAGCATACTGGATTACATTTTGATATTATGACTCCGCTCGAGAGTAATTACTAGTCAGTATTATCGAATAGTGTTTAATAGGGATGATGGATTCTTCATGATGTGATGCTTGAGCGGGGCCCGAGCTTTCAGATCTTTTAATTACTCTTGTTATGGTTTTTGAGCTGGTGATAATCTGAACTCAAACTGAGATTTATGATTCCAACTAGTTTTTATTTGATATGCTTGATTTGGCATTTGGTGTTTGGAGTCATTATCATTTCTGAGCTACCATTTAGAGAGGGAGGGGGGTGTGATTTCTTCGTGATATGATGCTCGACTAGGACTCAGCCTTCAATATTCAGCTTGAAGTTCCTCTCCTGTCGTGAAAGTCTATCTCGGGCCACATCTTCACGGATGTAGTCAAGTTTCCTACTAGATGAATTGCGGACAAGTGGTTCCTCTTATGAACAGGCTCACTGAAATATAGTGAAAGTCTGTTTCATCGTCCTGCAACAGCCGATGCTAGAGCAATTACAGATTACTTTTGCTGAACCGGTGTTTGAAGCTGAGATATAGAAGATCTCTAATCTTATGTAGATAGACCTCAACTGTTCGCATCTTTAGTTACCTAGATATTATGGTTCTTAACCTTGCTGATAGAAGAGTCGCGGTAGTTGAGTCTGAAAAATGGAGAAGGTTAACATGAATACATGATAGTTGCAAAAACGTTTCATGCCAAGTCAGAGGTTCATTTGTTGCTATGATTCCTGTTAACCAATTTGACGCTGCATTGGATAAGATCATCTTTCCCGGATGATGTTGTACGGCGGCCCAACTTCTCCAGATAATTTTCTGTCAAGTGGCTGTATGCACGTGATCAGGAGCTGGGAGGAGGATTTATTAGTCCTAGAGTCCCCCAATCGTCCTCGGAATTCTATCTGGAAGGCAGAAGATGTTGTAGTAATGGAGAGTTGCTGCTGAAATTCTTCCCTAATGCAGAAGATGTAGCTCAATCCTTATGCAAACTGGGCTTGAACTAATGCTTTTGTTGGTTTATATTTCATTTTTTGATTCAATTCACTTCCCTGTTCTTCTGGGTCTTTTGTTGCTAAGAGAACCCATTTAGTCCCTGTACTTTGGTCTTTAGATGAATGAATACAAGTTCATTTCCCATCCAAAACCAAAGTCAGAGCCAACCCAAAAGGTTATACCGATCTTCAAAGGACCCTTTCAGTCTTTCCACATCTGGACTCGTGGGTTCTTGTCCTTTCAGTCATTTGATTCTGTTTCTTTTATGTACCAAGGCTGATAAACTGCATATCAGAGAAAACGCTGGAAACATTTCATCTCAAGGTGAGGGCCCTTTCACGACCAAAAAAAAAAAAAAAAAAGGTGAGGGCACTTTTGGTTGAAGCACTTTCAGATTTTCCCTTTCTTGGGAAATCGAAGAACGAAAAACAATTTTCGAATCTCGATTCATGTGTTATCCTGGAAATGTGCTTATAGAAGGTTAAAAGCGGAACCTTTTTCCATTGCGAAAAACAGAACCCAGCGAGAGAGGCCAAAAAAAAGGAATAGCGGAAAATCCTCAAAGAAAAATTAAGGTAAAACGACACAAATGTTTTGATAAACTTCAACTCAATATACAATATGGTCAATGAAATTTTAATTTGTTCAATGTGGTACCTGAATTTTAGCCAAATGTGCAATGTGATTCCTGAATTTTTAATTTGTTTAATGTATTCCCTAAACTTTTGGTATATGTTTACTTTAGTTCTTAGATTATATGACAATATTTAGTGTTGTCCCTGATATTAAATTAATTGAAGGACTATATTGAACATTTACATATAATTCAGAGACTACATTGAATATGTACCAAGAATGTAAGGACCACATTGAACAAATTAAAAGTTCACGGACCACATTAAATATTAAGCTAAAAATCAGGGATCATATTGAATAAATTTAAAATTTATGGACCACATTGAATATCGATCCATAGTTTACGGACCATTTATGTTTATTATCCCAAAAATAAATAATGACTTTTGTTGGAGTTTTTTTATCCTTTGTTATTACTTATAGTTGAATGACGATGGAGAAGGTGTGGAGTGATGAGTGAATCCCGGCCGTTGAGAAGCGGAGGGCCAGCGTCGGGCGATGGGAGGTGGGAATCTGATCCGACGTGTACGGCGGGTAAGCCGATGCTAGGAAGTTCGTGCGATCAGGGCCGTTGGTTTCGACGACTCTTGTACTTCGTTGGAGCAGGAGGAGGAGGGGCGAAACTGGAAAGGTCAGGTGGGGACCACAGGGCCTTTTATGCGCCTTCCACTTTTTTGCGCGGGTCAAACTCGCGGCGGGGCCCACTCGCTCTAATCTAAACGGGGCGCCGTTTCGGGGAAAAGAATCGCCAGTGGGCATACCGCGTTTCGCTTTCTGTTTTTTTATAGAAATCTTTTTTTAGATGAAGGAAATATCAGATGAATAGGGGTACCGATGAGATTCATTTATTCTGAAAATGATAAAACAATTTTTTTAATCTTTTTAAACTTTATTAAAGTACTTTTTTTTTTATGAAACAAACTTTATTAAAGTACTTTAAAAGTGGATTTTTTGTATATCATATTACCTTTGAACGTTACTTTAACATCTCTAAGTGGTTTTTTTCTTGGCAATATTCTTTAATTGCTAAAAGTGGAAAAGTGACCCAAATAGCATATATTAGGGAACCCATCTACTATATAGACGACCATTGGCCGCTCCATTTGTTTCAAAGAAAATATGATGAAACGAAAAATCTTTTATAATAAGTCATTTTCTAGAAAAATGTTAATTATTTTTGCATGATTGGCGCATATTAAAAAATGAGTTAGGAAATTGATTTCCGCTGTTTGGAATATAAAACTTGTAAGAATGAACGATCCCTTTTGGAGCATTTCGTCACATTGCTTGATTTCTATGCCTTGTTTGATAGTTGTGTCACATAACTTTACGTGTTGGATTGATGTGTCTCCAATCCACAAGAATAACTATTTTAGCAAGATCTCCGTAGGCCTAATTCCCTAAAAAACTCCCAACTTTAGGTTAAATCCCAAATCTGCCCCGAACATTTTTTTGTCTCAGAAAAAACCCCAAACTTTAGGTCAAGTTCCAAATCTGCCCCGAACTTTTTTGTCTCAGAAAAAACCCTAAACTTTAGGTCAAATCCCAAATCTGCCCCGAACTTTTTTTTGTCTTGAAAAAAACCCCAAACTTTAGGTTCAGTTCAAAATCTGCCCCAAATTTTGTTTTATGTAAAAAAAATCACCAAAATTCAATTTATTTTCAAAAATATACCCGGATGATCCAGTTCTAACTTGACGTGGCATTTCCACATCGATAATAAATGATTTTATTTGGTTTTATTTTGGAGAATTTCAGCAATTTTTATTTGGTTTGATTTGTTGTCGAAGTGAAAATGCGACGTCGGTCTGTTCCTATCGCCCCATTACTTTGCTGATGTTGATTTGTTATGAAGTGGAAGTGTCACGTCAAGTTGGGAGGGGATCGCGGGGGTATATTTTTGAAAATAAATTGAAATTTGCTGATTTTTTTTACATAAAACAAAATTCGGGTTAGATTTGGGATTGAATTTAAAGTTTGAGGTATTTTCCGAGACAAAAAAAAGGTCGGGGCAGATTTGGGACTGGACCTAAAGTTTGGGGTTTTTTCGAGACAAAAAAAAGTTTGGGACAGATTTGGGAATGGACCTAAAGTTTAGGGTTTTTTCTTAGACAAAAAAAAGTTCGGGGCAGATTTGGAATTTGACCTAAAGTTCGGGGTTTTTTAGGGAATTCACCCGATCTCCGTATATTTAAGTAATCCTTTTTTCATTCAGTGGATGAAATATCCTCCGTTTTTGTATTTGTTGGAAAATGGCTTCCACTTTTCAAGTTATGAAGTTGTTTTCCTTAGCTTTAAACTAGGATTGTCTAATTGATTGATATCATTTTCCTTCGCACTAGTTTATTTTCCTACACCAAAACTGGTAAATGGAAAAAAAGTTGTCTTTCTTTAAAAGGTTTTTCTCTAAACAAACGAAACCTTAGTCTCACCCAGGACCTAATGAAATATCCCTCTTCCCTGACCCATTAGAGAATTATTTTTATGCATAAAAATTAAATTTCAGTAACCTTCATCTAAAATTTAGTAATGCTCGTCAAAATTTATTCTGGCGTATCAGGTTATGGGGTAAAAGATTATTGATTTGGCATCACAGTTTTACTTAATAATTCAAAGTAAAGGATAGGATGAATCGTTTTCTAACTATGATAATCAGAAAATTATTAAATTGGAATGATGGATTACTTCAATTTTGTTTTCGAAGCAAACAAATTCCGATACTCATGAAACGTGAATATCCAAACGCTGATCTTGAATAAAAAGGAGACCTCTTTCTTCTTCTTCTTGTTCCATTTTCCAAGAACACACGACCCTCTTCTTGTAAACGAAATTCAAGTACAAGTTGAACGTTAATTCATATACAAGAGTCATCCTCTGCAATACACAGATCACCAACTTTTTGTCATTGAATTCGGTAAGCTTGGGACCAGACGTTTGTATCTGAATGCGAACATCATAGCATTGGGTTTTGGAAATCGATGATTCGTGTCTCGGGATGAGTGCATACCTGGGAAAGCAAACGTTGTTAGCTGTTGGAACTCGTAGTCAGCCTCTGCCACAGCATTTCCTCTCCACCCAGCAGAGCAAAAGTTTCGAGCAGCAGATGAACAGAGCCATGCTGTTGGGGACCACCCCAGTCTGCCTTATTTGGAAACTCCCCCATTTGGCTAATTTGGAAATTTCTGAACCACTTTTGATTCTCACAAGCAATGGAAGAAACGAGTCTTGAATCCAACTTTATATGACGACTGGCGACGAGGGGGGGTCTCCTCCATTATTGCTGTGTAAACGGAGAGAGCTTGCTGAGGAAGAAAAAAAAGGGTCGGGGAAGAGCAACGATGAGTCGGGTTCGGGACGAGAGAGACAGCTTCTGCAAGTTGATCCTCCGAAAGGAACCCACGCAGCACCTGGTCATCTTCACTCCCTTTGTTTCCTCAAGACATTTTCTTTCCCTAGTGTCATGTTTCATTTTCTTTCCCTGGTGAAAAAGCCGTGAACTTGTCTTCTAAGTTAGTTTCGAAGAGCTAGTCTCGTTCTTTATCTGATTGCTGTGTCAAGCATGGTCTAGTTTTTCTATTTTATTTGCAGCTAGGATTAAACTGGCTTGAATCACAGTGACTTCTTTTAGTGCCAGTTCGAATGATAGTTGTTTTTATCCTTTTTTTTTAACGTTTTGCTGGCAAGAGGAATATAGTTGGGTCCCAAGACCTTAAACCCAGATTGTTTCTGATTTTTTTGGCTAGAATAAAGGAATGAAGATTTGGCCTGGTGCAGGACAAATTCATGTTTGTTTGCAGATAAAAATGCAAGAGAAAACAGAGCGACTGTTTCCTTGCCTTGTGCATAGGATTGCGTTAGTTACAGGACTCCTAAAAGCCATGTTTTGTGAATGCCAGAGGGGGTTGCCATGCTAATCGCCCCTGCCCACCCTTTTTAACTTATAAGAAAAAAAAAACAGGCTACTTTTGTTTCACAGTATCTTGTTCTAAGTTGGTTCTGTGATTGTGTGGATAAGTGTGAAGATGTTATAAATTTCCTCCAGCGCTCTAGAGCCCAGACGAAATTATTCTATCATGCATTTATCTCAAAATTAACCGCTTAGTGTGTTATTTTTCGGTTTTATCACCTAATGCCGATCAAAAGCGAGGCTGCATATAATTAGCGCACAGAATTCACATTTAAGTACGTTCCGTGAGATGCGTGCATTTGAGTATTCACCGAGCCATTGCTGTAATGGTTGCTTTCAGTCTCCTTTGTGTGGCCAGATTAGTCAGTTTTGCTCAATCTTTTGTTTTTGGTACTTCATCCATCGCCAAGTTTATCGTAGGAAGAACTGATTCCATGTTCAATGGATCTGCATCTGAATTTGTCGATCGATAAAATGTATGTTAACCTGCAACTCCCAAGTCTAATTGAAATTAAAAAATTTGCTACTTCGTACTCTAGAATCTGCTAACCACCATGTTTACTTTGATATATTGCAGAGAATTCCGCCAGAGTTTTCAAGGCTCTATCGTCATGAACTTCCTGATACAGTGATCTTGAAGGGCCCATCAGGCAACGAATGGCCTGCCAAATTATGTCAGGAAATTGATTATGTGTACATAGAGGATGATGGATGGCGGAATTTTCACAGAGACAACGCTCTAGGAAACAGTGAGTTCTTGATTTTCCAGTACGATGGGAAGAATTGCTTCGAAGTTCAGGTTTTTGATCCAACTGGAGTGGAGAGACTCAATGTTGCTGGTGCTAAAAGCATGCGAATTAACAATCCTAAGCATCCTGTTGGCTCCCAAAATCTCCCTCTGTTAAAATCTCCCAACTCTCAGGGTAATGCGCTTTCTTACCTTTGGCAGAATTAGATAAGTCAAGACAACACGTTGCCTGTAATGAATTAACTACGCAAGTTATCTCTCCTAGAATGTTCCATGCTTCCTCTAATTTTTTTATACTAAGGCATAACAATGAAAGAAAAAGTATGTGAAGCTATCGTTTACATTGGGCAGGCAAGCATAATCCTGAACTTGAGCAAAACAAGCTGGAGAAAATCCAAGTGGAGGAAAGCCTAAGTAAGTCAAAAGAAGAAGAAATGGACCTGCCTGATGTTAGAACGAGTTCAGAGCCCAGCAAGCACAAATGCAAAAACAAGCAAAGGCAGGTCAAAGCTGGAAAACTTGCTCCACATTTCCCGGTTTGCAAATCGAGATTCTTGCGTCACTCTTTAGAGAAGAATGCTTCTAGTTCCAAGGAAACTGCAAGGCTGGGAGCAGTAAAAGAGACTTTTACTTCGAACTTCCCCTTCTTCATGAGTTATATGAGAAGGTCCACCGTGGAGAAAGCGAAACTGCTGGTTAGTATTCACTTTCTCTCAAAGACTCTATCTTAGAACTTGGCCATTGTTTCCGTTCCCTTTTCTCTGATTTTGAGTGTGCGGCGTGAACCAATGCAGCCTGTTCCGTCAAAGTTTGCTAAACATTTTCCTGCGGCAATGGGAAAACATTGCCTTACGGAATGCGGAAGGTAAAACTTGGGAAGTTGCCTTGCATTACAACGCAAAGAGTTATTACTTTTCTCGAGGGTGGCCAGCCTTTCTTTATGACAATGAGCTGAAGATTGGAGATGTGTGCATCTTCGAGGTTCTCAACATGAAGGAAGTCCGAGTCCACATTTACCGCTCGCCGGGAACTTCGGCCATATGAAAGAAGATGTGGCCAGTAACATTACCAGATTACTATATTCACCTGTGGTCTGTCTACAATAGTAGCTTGTGATAGTCCTCAATGTGGTAGTAGTTTTCTTAATATTGGTTGGTAACTGAGTGTTAGTTGCTTTTACTATTGACTGTTGAGTTTGTAACTTTCCTAACAAATCAAGTAATGGTCACGAACCATAGAAAGACCGGTCTTGCTGTTGCGCTGCTAACTGGAATCATTGTACTTATGATGATGAACAAGCAGTTGTCTTGTTGGCAGATGCCAAAACTATGTTAGATTGTCTGGAATGTCATAGGCTCACAAGGAGAATGTTTTCTTTATGACCTGATGCTCATTATGCCTTCATCATTGTGATTCATAGTTTCTCTCTTACGATGTAGTTTTTGAGCTGGTGATGACCTGAACTTTAATTTGCGTTTGTGATTCCGGCAAGTTCTGATCTCCTTCGGTTTCTAGAGGCATTGGCAGTTTTGAAGTAGCATCTCAAAGAAAGAATGATTTGTTGATGATCCAATGCTTGACTATGACTCAGGGTTCTGTATTTAGTCTTAACATTCCTCTGGCTCACAGTTTTTCGGCTACCAACAGACAGCGGCCCAGGAAAGTCTATCTCCAGCTATGTCGTCACCAGATGTAGTTAAGTTTCTGGCTAAACGAATGCATGGATAAGTTCTACCCGACGATGATGGATTTTGTGATGCATGGCTTAGGCTCAAAGTTTATAGATTGCAACTAATTTTTCATTCCAAGTCCTGCGTAACTTCTTTTCCTCTGATGATTCAAATCTCATAGCCTTTTCACAAACATGCATAAATTATTTCGGGTGATTGGTCAAACAGAAAATATGCTGTTGATCCCTTTCGATAACGCAGTCACTCGAAGACCTGAAAATCTTATGCAGCCCTGTGAAAAATCTATTTGATGTAACAGTGCAATAAGCAACACCATGTCAATAAATTTGAGGGAGTTATACAAATGAAAATAAACTCTTGTTGTAATTTCCAAGCACATTGTTCAAGAGCAAAAGAACAGCATAAGGACTTCTATGAATGCCACTTCTTTATGGATTTAGTAAACTGATGCTAATAAAAATGTAATTGGACGTTAAAAATGTCGTCCTTTCTCGTTTCGTTTTTTTAACTTAAAACTCATTTGCTCAATAGTATGAAAATGTCTCTGCTCAGTCCGTATATAAAGATATGGTCTTCTTCTCCTGATTCTCATGAGTTGTGCATGTGTTTTTTTTTTTTCCTTTTGCTTTTTTTTTTGAAGCCCTGTAGTGTTCTTAAGAGACAAGAACAGTTCAACTCTGCATGTTGGCACTCGTACTGGCAGTCTCTGCCTCCGGTCCTCTGCCTCCAGAGAAGAAGAGCTCCAGTTGGCGGAGCAATGTTGGTTGGCCCCTGTTTTTTGCCTGATTTTGAAAAGTTCTCATCCTTTTTGCTTTTGCCAAGCCATGATACCCTCCTCCACGTCTCTTATAACAAGGGAGTGCTCAGTTGATGGCGGTGTGAAACTCCCAAGAAGCAGCTGCTTGAAGAAGAATGGAGGGAGGCGCAAAAAAAAAAAGAAGAAGAATGGAGGGTCTCGGAGAAGAACATGAATTGGACTCAACAACCAAGATGAAGATGAAGATGAACTGCTTCTTCAAGTTGACCCTGCAGAAAGAACCCATGCAAGAACTGGTAAGATATTCGAGCCTCTGTTTTCTCGACACAAAATATCCCTGTCTCCTCTTCCATTTCGTCTTCTATTGTGCAGTCACTGAGAAAAGAGTAAACCTGTCCTTCAAATTACATCTTCTGATGTCTCTTTGAAGAGCTAGGGGCGCTTTATCTTCTTGTCGAGTGCATGGAACGATTACAATGACTAAAAAGCAGAAGGCTTGAACTGGCTCAAATCGAAGTAGTGGTGCCATTTTGAATGAACAAAGTCTATTAGCGGTAGATTCTTTTGGGTTTTTCCTCCAAATGGAGAAGTAAAAGATGTGGCTTTACACTTCCTTACCCTGTCTGACCTTGTGAAGGAGAGATAACGCCCAATGCTCGTTTGCAGATGATAAATCTAGGGAAAGAAAAGAAAGACTGTTGCATTGTGAGGTTTCTTAAGTAATGCACAAGAGCGCATCAGTTGCTGGGAAATTGAAAAAAATAAAACGAAAGGTGAAAGTATCACACCCGACTGCTCATGTGTCAAACAATTCAATTTCACTTGCTTCAAAAGTTTGGTTGTGTACACTAGAGCATGTATGTTAGGCTAAATGACTGCTATATGAGTTATGTGATGAAGGAGGAGAATGATTCATACTTTCTCAAGCTCTCCAGAGTCCGGATGAAAGATCCTGTTTCTTTTCATGCATGTTCTGGCTTATCATATTGTGTTTAAGTTTCATTGCCTACCATGGCTTGAAGAACAGGCTCATATAATTAGTATATGGAGTTCTTATTTAAGTATATTCTACTACAGTGAGAATCCATGTGTTTTGGTGTTAGTTAAATTGAAGTTGTGATGTGTTGATGCCAGTCTCTTTTGTGTGGCTTGATTAATCAATTCTTTCAATCCTTTTGTTTTCGGTACTTCTTCGATTCCTAAGTTTGAAACGGTATGATAGGCAGGGTTGATGCGAGTGTAGTTTGATCTGCATCAGTATTACTACATATATCCTATTGTTGACTTCACCTTTAAGTAGCGAATCCAATTTGTATTTCATGTTTTCTTGTTCGATTAATGATCACTCAGCTACTAGAGCCTGTATCTTGCACTCTGGAATCCACTAAACACAATATTTAATTGAGTATAATGCAGAAAATCCCGCCAAAGTTTGGGAGGCTTTTTTCAGAAGAACTTCCCCATACAGTGATCTTAAAGGGCCCGTCTGGCGAAAATTGGAATGCCAAATTACGCAAGGACGTCACTGGCGTGTATATACATGATGGATGGCAAGAGTTTCACATAGACAACTCCCTTGGAAACAAGGAGTTCTTGCTATTCGAATACGATGGGAAGAGAAGCTTTGAAGTACGTATTTACGATCCGACTGGATTGGAGAGAATCAATGTTCCTCTTACAAAAAGAAAAGAAACAAACCTTCATAGTGGGAAAAGACCAAGAGGCAGACCCAGAAAGTGTCCTGTTGGCTCCCGAAATCTCCCTCAGTCAACATATCCCAATTCTCAGGGTAATGCACTCTGTCCTTTTCTTTGGCAGACTTAAGTTCAGATTATACCTTCTACATGTCCTGATTTACTTAACATATAATCTTTTCCTACGATATCAGTGTTGGTGTTTTCTTGATATTCTGGATACTAACGCATATGCATGTAGAAAACCTGTCCAAAAGGATAGACTTACATTTACATGACATTGGACAGACAAGCAAAATGTGGAAGTCGAGCTTAACAAGCTTGAGAAGATCAAAGAGGAGGAAGAAGAAATGGATCTTTGTGCTGTTAGAATGAGTCCAGAGCCCCACAAGCACAAACAGAAGAACAAGCTTGGAAAACTCGCCGCAGGTTTACCAGTATCCAAATCAAGATTTAGGTGCCATTCTATTGAGAAGAAGGCTTCTAGCTCTGAGGTAAATGTAAGGCTGAGAGGAGTAGAGGAGATGTTTACTTCTATGTTCCCCTACTTCATGACTTATATGAAATTGTTCAGCCTTAAGAGGGCGAAAATGCTGGTTAGTGTTCACTTTCTTTTCAACTCCCTGTTTCATAACCTTTGTCATTGTTGTCCCCTTCCTTTTCTCCAATACTGAGTGTCTTCCACAAATAAATGCAGTATATTCCCAGGGCGTTTGCTCAAGTGCATTTCCCAGGGGAAAGGGCGGACATTGTCCTGCGAAATTTGGAAGGGAACACTTGGAATGTCGTCTGCGTGATAAATAGGAACCGGCATTACTTTTCTAAAGGGTGGCCGGCCTTTATCCAAGACAACAAGCTAGGGACCGGAGATGTTTGCGTGTTCGAGCTTCTCTTCAACATGGAATTCCAAGTCACCATATTTCATTCGCCGGAAACTTTGATTGCATGAAAGAAGATGCGGCCAGGGAGATTAGATTATGGTAGTATACTTGAATTATGTCTCACTATTGTGACTCCGCTCAGAGAGAAATCACTCATTAGTATTATTGAACAATATTTTATAGGGAAGATGTTTCTTCATGATATGATGCTTGGTTAGGCCTCGAGCTTTCAGATTTATAATTACTCTCCTTATGGTTTTTGAGCTGCTGATAATCTGAACTTAGATTTATAATTCTAACTAGTTTTTGATTTGATATGCTTGATTTGACATTCGTTGTTTCGAGTCATTACCATTTTTGAACCAGCATTTAGAGAGAGAGACAGAGAGAGAGAGAGGGCATGATCTTTCAATATGGGACTCCGCCTTCAATGTCAGCTTCGAAGTTCCTCTCCTGTCATGAAAGTCTATCTCGGGCCACATCTTCATGGAGGTAGTTAAGTTTCAAACTAGATGAATGTGTGGATAGGCAGCTCTCATTATGGAAATATAGTGAAATCTGCTTCATTGTCCTGCAACGGCCGACGCTAGTGTGATTACAGATTAGCATTACTGAGCTGGTGTCTGAAGTTGAGAGATAAAACATGTCTAATCTGATGTCGATAGATCTTAACTCTTTGGATCTTTGGTTACCTAGTTATTATGGTTCTTAGAAATAGAACAGTCGGGCAGTCGAGAAGGTTAACGTGATTGTCGCAAAAATGTTCCACAGCGAGTCAGAGCTCTGATTGCCCAACTTCTCCAAATAGTCTGTCAATTCAGTGTAATCACTTGATCAGGAGCTGGGAGGAGGATTTAGTTTTAGAGTCCCCTAATCGTCTATGGAATTAGAAAGCAGAAGATGTAGTAGTAATGGCGGAGAGTTGCTTCCGAACTTCTTCCCTAATGCAGAAGATTTAGCTCAATCCTCATGCAAACTGGGCTTGAACTAATGCTTTTGTTGGTTTATATTTCATTTTTTGATTCAGTTCACTTCCCTGTTCTTCTGGGTCTGTTGTTGCTAAGAGAACCCATTTAGTCCATGTACTTTGGTCTTTAGATGAATGGATACCAATTCATTTCCCATCCAAAACAAAAGTCAGAGCCAGGAAGGTTATACTGATCTTCAAAGGACCCTTTCAGTCTTCACATATGGACTCGTGGGTTGGCCTGTGATCGTGTGTTGTTTTTGCCCTTTCAGTCGTTTGATATATTCTTTTTTTAACAGAGACTGATAAAACATGTGAGAGAAAACATTGGTAAACATTTCATCTCAAGTATGGGCCCTTTTGGTTGAAGCATTTTCAGATTCCCCTTCTTGTGAAATTGTAGAGGAAGTCCTATGGGAACCGTATTCAAGCTTCCTTAAAAAAGCAAGGTGTTCAACCCCTGACAGAGCCATATAAACTTTTGTCTGCATCGGTTGGTCATCCAGGCTAAGTCAAGGAAAAATTGCCCGGTTCATATATCAATGGTCGAGAGACATTGGCTGATCCGTTTCAATTAGAATGCACAAATGCATGCCAGATTCCGATATCTTCTTGCTTGTCTTAGCAATCACAAAAAATAATAGAAACTATTTGCAAGAGCTCATTACTATGCCTTTGACCTTAATAATTTCCTAGCAAAAATATATCGCGGCTTCGACGAATTAGAGGGTGAGCAGAGCACTTCACACTATACCCTTTTACAAGCATTGTGAACGAGAATTCCTTGTTTTGTCAGGGTGATGCTTATGTTTGTGTTCCTGTACAGGAGTCAGCTGAATGTCTCTATCCTTCTAAGACACTTCCCGTAACCAAGATTTTGACAAAACCTTTATGTACAGCGGGACTAATTTTTTGCTAGTAAAAGTGGATGGCAATGCTCTGCTTGTCGACTGTGATCGGTTGGCGCTCGATGCCCTCGGGGAGTACTGCATTTCGTACCATGTTACGTCGGTACGCTCCACGGACCAAACTCCGCGGCGATATTCTGGTCAAGAAAACTTGGGTTGTGGATATCCGAGCAACGACATCGTGCATAGAATGGCTGTTAGACATGTCTAGTTTCCTCCATCGCGAGACGCATGCTGTGACGAACCGGTGATGTATTGCCAAGACGATTAAATGGCCGGCAGCGCTTGATCCCGTGTTCTCGGATGCTGCTGCGAGGAGAATGAACAATAGTCCTCTAGTTTATATGGATCGTGACCATTCCGAGCGATTCTCCTTGCACTCGGGGCATGGTCGGTTTTAGCCCGCACGAGCTGATGATAGCTTGCCGAGATTGCGAAGTTCCATTGCCCCTCGAAGAAGACCGAAACATGGTGCTCCTAGAACACCCAAAATTATCTTCGCTGTGCTCCATGGAGAACAACGGTTCTTGCCATGCTGAACGAGCAACATAAACTTTCTCCCGTTCATCGGGGACTATAATTATGTAACGCGATCACAAAACATGCAATTATAAAAAGTAGTGGAATAAAACTTTTGGGCCGAGGATATAACACTTCTCATTTTGTTAATCTTTAAAAAAATTATTTTAGGATTTTTGCTCCACTTTTAAGCCATTCGCCTTTGAATATTATTTCGGGTGTACAAAACGAGGCAAAAGCCCATGGAAAAACTAGAGTAGACGGGGAATATGACTACAATCTACAAATGTACGATAATCAGCTGGTACATACATGATCATACGACGAGAAACCATATCAACAATGCGGGTTTCGCTTTAAAATTACTAAATGCGCTCTTCTTATTATCGTTTTTTTTTCTAAATTGTGAAATGCATCCGGTGCAAATCCCGGGATTGAAAACTAGTTTAAAATGAAAAGTTGCAAATCAACTGTAGCGACTTTCTTCTGTTGTGATCTTGAAGTTTAAATCGGGAGTGTAATTATTTTCCTAAATTCGAGAGATCCGAATTTTTCGCATAATCTTTTCATCTTACATATGAATTTTGAAAGAACTCGACTTATGTAATTGTCAAGGGGGTTTGGTGGGACTTGCCGATCTGATTTGAAGAACCCATAAAATATCGAAAGTAGTTTTATCCCCTATATCAATGGCGCTCTCGGGCTTTGGGCTTGCGCATAAAAAGCTTGTCTTTTTTCAAGGGATCAGTGGAAGAAGACACGCCGGAACAACGTTGGCATATGCCGTAACATTGTCTCCTCCTCCTCCTCCTCCTCCTCCTCCTCCTCGTACAATGTCGCATGAGTTGACCGCAGCACTCGCGGCTGATGCAGTTTCGAACCACACGGAGAAGCCCGCTGCCCATGGACGAAGGGCTTGCGTTTTCTACAAGTTGATCGTGGAGTCCATCATCCAGGAGAAGCAGCTGGTAATTTCCCTTGCTGTTCTTCTTTTGTTCTTTTCACTGTTCTTGGACTTCGTGTTGTGTTCGTTATCGACCTTCTGGTTGTACCCTTTTATGTTCCTTTGATTCAATCGTGCTTGCTTGTCATCTCCTCTTGTTCCTATCTTCACGGGCTGGTTGGGGCTTCGTGGGTGTTTGGTATCTTGCATGGATGATGTGTCTAGACATCGTTTGAGACGTTTCAGTTGATGAATTGCCCCCCAAGATCTTTCTCCCCGCCTTGTCTCTTGATTTCATACATAAAGTCGGGAACTTTTGTTGTGCGGGAATATGTTCATGGAGTGAATTTGGGTTGCATTTATTATCAGTTTTGGTATGACTTGCTTCTAAATTCAAGAAAACCCGTCTGTACATGTGCTCGGGAATTTTGTTTGTACGCTACTTCGGTTCTTTTGTAATGTAGAGCTTGCTTATACAATTAGTGAGAATGTGGGTGGTTAAACTTTGATATCTGCAGGGACTTCCGAAAAGATTTGTTCAGAAATTTGGAGATGAACTATCCAATGCTGTTACACTCACCACTCCCAGTTCTGGTATATGGCAAGTGGGCTTAAGAAAAGCTAATCAAAGGCTATGGTTTGATGGCGGCTGGCAGAGATTTATTGAACATCACTCTGTTTGTGCCGGGTACTTTCTGGTTTTTCAGTATGAAAGGAACTCCAATTTCCTTGTGTACATGTTTAACTTAACTGCTTCCACGGAGTTCGCTCATACCACTCTTGGGAGGTCTGAAGAATTGAGTCATGGCAAGCAAGTTGCATTTCCTCTGGAGCAAAATCGAGAGTCTAGTAACATTCTCAAAGTTCGAAAACTTAGCCCTGCCTTCCCAATTTCCAGCTATTCGAGGAACAAGGCTTCTACTGACCTTGTCAATCAGAAGAGATCAGACCGTATATATAGTGTCATCAACCTTGAGGACCATAAGCATGAGATTAACGGGAAAAATCTCCTATCAAGAAACCATTCAGACTTTCTCCATCTGAAGGGTAACAATACTCGTGATATAGGGGTACAAGTCGATGTTAATGAACTTAGAGAAGCAGGGAATGGAGTTCAGTCTCCTTTGTCTCACCAATCAAGATATCCCAAAAGGAGAAAGCAAATAGCTGAGCCCGGTAAGCACCATTAACTCTTGTCAATTGATCATCCATACTCCTGTTTTTTGTTTGACACAATAATGACAATGCAGATGAGAAAGAGTTGTCGGCCGAAGAAAAGTTGGGAAGCGAACCATCTCCTTCCGGCGATGTTTCCTCCCAAAGTTCTTCCAGACAGTCGAAAGCCACAAGGCTTGTAACTGCTGAAGCGAGAGAACTGGCGATCCGGGCATCGGAAATGTTTGAGCCTGACGGCCCTTTCTGCCGAGTGGTCATGCGACCATCCTTCGTACATGGAAAATTTATTCTGGTAAGCCTTGGAGGTGGATACCCTCGCTAAAACGTTCGTTCCATATCATTTCCTAATTCTAAGTGGAGCTACAGAAGTAGCCATAACAACTATGCCCTTCTCTTCATTGAGAATTAGCTGCATGAACGTGGATTTTCCTATCCTTTGTGCTCATACATACAACAACGTGAGGTTCATGGTTGGAAGATAATTCCAAATGAATTCACTTGGATATTATTTCAGTGGCCATATATTGTCTTGTGAAGGCTTCTGTCTCTTTTTCCTTATACAGCACCTACCCTCCTCCTTCGCCCGGATGCATCTGAAGGACTTGTCTGGGGACATCAAACTTCAGCTTCCTGATGGCAAGCAATGGCCTGTGCGGCGCATTTTCAACCGTGGCAAAGCTAGTAAGATCAGCAGAGGTTGGCGTAAATTTGTGACAGATAATAATCTGGAGGAAGGAGATGTCTGCATCTTTGAACTGGTAGAGACAGAGGACGTTGTGCTAAATGTTACTATAATCCGAGTTCTAGAGGACAGGAACTCACAGCAGTGAGTCGGCCGCAATAGATCTTGTGCTTCGTAACTATGTTTTCCCTGTGAATATGGTATCGGTGATTGAGATCTTTATGATAGTGTTTCTTTCTGGCCTGCTCAGTGCAACTTAAAGCACTCTTTTACTACTTCTGTTAGTCGGCCGCATGCTATTGTAATTCGCATGTAGCATGTGACGAACTGATGGTGTATCGTTGAGCTGATTAAATGGCCGGCAGCGCTTGATCCCGTGTCTTTGGATGCCTGCCAGGAGAATGAACAAGAGTTCTCTAGTTAATATAGACCGTGACCATGCCGTAGAGTCGGTTCCTGCCATGCTGAATGAGAAATATAAACTTCCTTCGGTTCATAGGACTATTCAATAACTGGTTTTGCAGCAACACCAACCAATCTAGATTTTTCTCGATCCCCAAAAAATCACTGTATTGTCTCAACTTCAGAAAATTACGCACACTAAAAGTTTCAGGCTCCACATATATGGACTAATTTTAGTTTCCGTATTAACGTTGGAAATAAGTTTGAGGTAAAGAGTTTCGCGCGTAAGAAGTACTACTCCACGAAACGAGTACAAATGCCATGGAAAGGGCAGTAGGTTTTTGGTCGAGGAATAAAGAAAAGGGTAAGTTTTATTTACTCGAGAATATTTTTTTATCTTCGCAAATTTTCAAGAATTTTCATGGACATCGTGAATGAGCTTTGAGGGCAAATTAATCTAACCAAAACATGCAATTTTAGGACGGTGTGGAGCAAAACTTTTGGGTTGAGGAAATATCACTCTCATTTTCGAAAGCCTGTGGAAAAACTAAATTAGAAAGGAATAGCACTTCGAGGTGTGTAAAAACCAGATCAATCTCCTTAGCAAACAGCCCAATGAGATTTTCTAAATACATGATCATAAGATAAGAAAAGATGATAACTATGCGTGTCTTACTTTGAATTTTCTAAATGTGCTTTTTGGGTCATCCTTTCTCGAAAGAAAAATTTTCAAAAGGTACATGGTGCAAAGCACGGGATTGAAAACCAGTTAAAATAGAAACTCTGGATTCAAGTCATTAAAAAATACCGCAATTGTCACTTTCTTTTGTTGTAATCTTTAAGTTTAAATTGGGAGCGATCCCAACTTTTTCCCCCACGAATTCCGCAGTTTCATAGGTAATACGACCCCATAATCTTTTGCCTCATTCACTGAACTTTTAGCTCTCCATTCGTCCATAACCTAAGTTGCTATATTTGTCGGAGGGGGGTGGCGGTGCTGCCGGAACTAAAGTCTCGTGAAAAGACGCATTGGCCATCACTCTCGAGAATCTCGTAGTAAGTGGCGTGCAACTCAGCATTATCTTTCAGCTTCTTCATATAGGAACTCCACCAGGCAGCTCAACCACATCTCTCCACTTCTTTTTTACTACAAGCCGAACTCTGCATTAAAGAACACCCAAACGTTGAGTTGTGTTCATCAAGCAACGTTCCTGCCATTTTAGCCCCCTACAAATGAACAACCGAAAGAGACGTGTAACAACGTCACTCTCGTTGAAATAGAGGAAATTATAATCGATGGGTAACCAACGCATTGATGGGCAGCAGACGACGCAGAGCCCCCTCCTCTGTTTTGACCATAAAGCAAAAACCTCCATGTCGACCACCATTTTACCGGCGCACATGGACCTTCGAACCTCGTTGTAGCCCAGGACGACAGAGGCAGAGACGACAAAGAACGGCCACTCCCAAAACAGGACGGAGACCGACGGCGTCGGAGAGTGAAACCGAGAGCCCTCCTTCCTGTTCGCGTGTTTTTTCTGGTTCGTGCCTTGCTCTGCTCTGCTCTGCTCTGCTCAACTGTGTTCTCAGATCGGGTTAAAAACACAAATCCAAGTTTTTCGGCTTCGTGTCGTGTTTCGGTTATTTTGTTGTATTGTATTTTTTCCTGATCGGAATGTCGTGATCAAACAAAAGGAGATGGGTTATCTGAGGGCTTCGAAAGTAGATTTGCCTTGCAACCTGTCTTGGAAGAAACCTTTTTTGTCATCACTATTCTACTAAAAAATGTTTTCCCTCGTAACTGATCGCAAGCTTGGCTTGAAGTAGTACAATAATTGTCGTTGAAAATGTGTATGACGCATGGTTTCCGAGAGCTTGGTGTCTGTTGCACTCACTGAGATTCTCTACGCTAGCTTACATTAAACTTTAGGATATTGACTCCCCTCTACCTGCTAACAAAAGGGAGATGGAGAATGCTCCGAGAAAAATCCCAGATTTCTTCAAAGTGTACAGGCCAGAACATAGCTCTCAGAGAATGGTGAGATAACTCTCTCTCTTATGAACTGTTTTTAACTCGGCAAATTGTTCTATTTCGCGACTCACTTATGTCTGTTCCTTGCAGCGCATTCCTAATGGTTTCCTGGCGCGGCTAGATGGGCCACTATCAGGAGAGATCCTCCTGAGGCGTCGCATGGGGCGGCAATGGCGTGTGAAGGTGATTTTGGAGGCACGGGATGCCTATTTTGAAGACGGCTGGCAAGAATTTGTGCGGGACAACCTAGTCGAGATGAATGACTTTATGGTTTTCTCCTATCGGAGTCACAGTGTGTTCAATGTTGTTATCTTTGGGCACTCCGCGTGTGAGAAGAAAGAGTGCGCCCTCCCTGAGGAGGTAGGAGAAGGATGTGAAGTCCGTGAGCGTGACGATAAGGACTGCGAGGAGGAGGAACATGAAGGCAGGAGGAAACGGTCCAAAAAAGAAGGTAATAGAAATCATTCGCGATTCATTAATTTTCAGCACATTGCAATTATATTGGGTGTACATAGCTTATAAGCAGTGAATTTCTTAGTTTGTTCGACTCTCTTAGTGTTATCCGATATACAGGGATCTTTAGCAAGAGGAAAGCTGATGATGAAGATCCTATCGATGTGGAGAGGTACATCGACCCCAAAAATCCGTATTTCGTGACAAGGATCCGAACTCTTAGAAAAGCTCGCTTGGTATGCTTGCTCTTCTATCCCACTTTTCGTTTTGCATAGTATATCCCTAGAAATGTGATCTTGTTATGAATGTTCTTCTTTAGCCTTCTTGGATCCGCCTGTCAATCTGCTGTCCTAGTATATCCCCTTGAAGTGTTGTAGTGCAGACAAGGAAGAGCTTGCTGAAGTGCGATCTTCTTTCTTGCTCTATAAAATGATCATTACAGAATTAGTTATTTTTAATAATGGAGATTTTGTCTTAGAATTATTGACATAGAGTCCTCATTGCACTCACCTATCTCGTTGCAGTACTTTCCATACACTGTGCTAAACGATTATGAACTCGAGTTACCTCAAGCTGTTGAGTTCCAAGATCCCACGGGGAGGACATGGAGAGGGAGGCCTAAGGTGTGGAAAGATGGCCGCATCTGGATCTGTGGCTGGGGGGCCTTATGTCGCCATAACAATTTGAAGAAGAACGACCGGTGTATATGTGAGCTTCTGGAGAAAGGAGGAGTCGCCGGTCGCATCATTAAGGTTCACATCATAAGAGGCGACAATACCTGAAAACCCCAGCTCGTGGCCCCCAATCTGATCTGGGACTTTGGCTAGTTGTAATTAACTTTTGACATGGAAGTTTCAGTTATTTGAACAGTATTTATTATTATGCTGGACTTCAATGTTGTTCTTGTTGTGTCATCACTTCAAACAATATTTTTGTGCTTCTTTATTCGGTTCTTCAGTTCTTGCAAGTTACATCTTTATTTGTAATTGCAGTGGGATTTATTAGATAGGACTTGTTGGTATGAATGGGTGGTCCATATTCATTCACCTGCAAACCAAAGGGCCTAACTTCATTGTTTTTCTTGGACAATATCTGAAGTTGCAACAGATCTGTTCTGGAGCCAACCCCACTCACCTTATCCTTTCTCTATCTCCCATTCCTCCACATACGAAGTCTCACTTTGCTTCCCTCCATTTAGTTCTACAAGCTCAGAGAAAAAACCTCCACTTAAAAACAGGTAATTGAACATTCTCAACCAGAAATAGGCACACCCATTGTCTTCCCCAGAAAGGTCCTAGCTCTTCTCACTGCTGTGAAATATTCTCGATTTCTAATTAGACTGTGGAATTCCAGGAAATGGCGACCGCCTCTGCTACCATCGCTCCCGAGGCACTCGCCGCCTCTGCCTCTGCCATGAGCAAAAGGAAGAGGATGAACAATCTGAATTACATAACAAGAATGAGTCCATTTGGTGGGCTAAAAGCTCACAACACTGTGGCTTCGTGTATGCTTTACTGTCATTTTCAGGCAATCACGGCACATGGTATGCTTTGCAATGAAACAAAAAATGCGAAGGAGTATGGGCCTTGCTCCGTGTACTTGCACGGAAATGCTGCCTCCGTCCAATCAGGGACTGCTGATCTTGAAACTTGTGCCCTTTCCTGTCAACCATACTCGACATTGACAATAAACAATGGGGCTGCTAACAAATCCTACTTGAGAAAAGATTTGGCGCATTTGAGATTCCTTCAGTTACATGTCGTCTTTTATGTATCATATCCAAAGCAATAAACGCAAAAGCTTTCATGAAAATTAGAAGATAATCATTCCATGAACAGTTAAGTGGCGACAATAGCATGTTTAAACTTTGAAGGATGGAAAAAGATCTGTTTTCGCACGCATTTCTGTAAGTGCGATACATGTAGCTGTTGTTGCCATTTCTAGACATGTGACATAATTTCATCCGATCAATACGTCTGAGTTGTGTCGACGACACCTCGCGAAAATAGAGTTTGCGACTGCCGTTGCACAGATGTACAAGTAAAAATGTCAGCACTGTCCTCTAGTTGTTGATGCTTGTGGGATGCAATTAGGCTACGAGATCAAATTCCAATTGAAATGAAACGTCTGTCGTCGACGTCCGACAAGATGGACTACTCCAATAAACTGGACTAAATTTGCAGAACACAGCAAACAGGATGAGGACCTTTGATTGATGTGATACGCAACAAGTACTCGCATAAATACACTCAAACTGATGCACAAAATAAGTCGTATCCCAATTGTGTTCCTTCTATTGGTTTTGTTTTTTCTTTCATTGTTTGCGGTGTTGACATGGTGTACTTTCGGAATATATCGCCCGGGATTCGCGCGCTTATAACAAAATTAATGACCTTGAGTGCAAATGATCCTATTAGATGTAATGAATCGGCAGATCCATAATCAAGCCCCATGATTTTCATGATTAGAATACCAACCCATTAGAGGAGCAACTGGTTATAAGCATACTGTTAAATGCTAATATCAGTGATTTCTCTTTTCAAACGACACTAAGGACAATCATTGGTTGGACTTTTTTTTTCAGGTGAAGAATACTAGAAGTGTCAAAACTTGTGTACAGTGCTCACTTTAGTGCCAAAAGTTTTTTTCGGATCACTTAAATGCCACTTTTTTTTTAAAAACGGTCACTTAAGTGCCAACTTCAATTTGGGTCGTCGGAAATATGACGTGGCCATATTTTATTAATTTCTCAGTTCTATGTGACACATTGGCGCCGATGGGAATAATATTTAATAATATTTTGATATTTTTTAGATTTTTTAAATATTTCTTATGATTTTTTTTCTTTTTTTCCTTCTTTTCTTTTTTCTTTTCTTTCTTTTTCTTCTTCTCCCTTTGGCCGGTGACCGGACACCGGCCACTGGCCATGGCTGGCCGCTTGGCCTCGCCCGGACGAGGCCACCGTCGTCCGCCATAAACGAGGCCCAGCGACCCTCGCTTGGGCAAGGCCTAGTCGACCCTCGCCTGGGCGAGGGCGGGCAAGCCCCGGCGAGGGTCGGCCTCACCTCGCTTGGGCAAGGCGAGCCCCGGCGAGGGCTCCCCTCGCCAGATCGGTCGAGGCCGGCCCTCGCCCAGGCCACAATGGCCTCGCCGGCGATGTGACTGGTAATGGAACTCTTCTAAATAGATTGGCTGGACATCAATTTTAAGAGACTCTGGATGCATCCTACAGTCCCAGTCCAAGCAAAAACAGAAAGCTTCCCGCAATAATCGTGGCTCCTCCATGTCCACTCACTCCCCCCAACAAGAGAATTACGTGTTCCCATTGTCTAGACTCATTTTATGAATCTAGTAGATGACAGCTCAAGAAACAGTTTGACTCGCGCTTTTAAAAGGAAAACCATACATTCCCCACGTATCGCTCATTTGGTGGTTGGTTTTACCCACCGCCTCATTCATGAAATGAGTCTACATAATAGTTTATCGAATCACGTTCCCGTGAAGTCTTCTTAATCCTTTGTCAACTAAGCAAAACAGGTCATACAAAATTGCTCACAAACCATCTCAAGACAAACTGCAAACCATGGAGCTGCTCTCCCTCGACCTTCAAAAGATTGGCCTTGCTGTTCTTCTAGTCATCATCTATCTCTATACTTCACTGCGTAGATCCAAAAGAAACAACAAAAGGGGCCAAACACTCCCAGAGGCAGCAGGGGCATGGCCTTTTTTCGGGCATCTTCATCTTCTGGGGCCAAACAAGCTACTGCACAGAATCCTAGCAGCCATGGCTGATCAGTACGGACCAACCTTCTCTATCCGCCTCGGCATACACCGAGTACTTGTGGTAAGTAACTGGGAAGTGGCTAAAGAATGTTTCACTTCGAATGACAGCATCTTCCCCACCCGGCCCAGATCACTAGCCATCAAACTCATGGGTTACAATCATGCCATGTTTGGGTTCGCTCCTTATGGTCCATACTGGCGTGGTATGAGGAAGCTCGCCGTGGTTGAGCTCCTCTCAAACCACCGGCTCGATTTGCTCAAGCATGTGAGAGATGGAGAAACCAATCTTTTCGTCAAGGGGTTGTACGAGAAATGGTTGAGCAACGGCGAAAACCCAGTTACAGTGGAGATGGAGAAGAATTTTGGGCATGTGGCTATGAATATAACGGTGAGGATGGTCGCGGGAAAACGCTATCTAAAGGGCGACAAAGGGGATGAAGAGGAGTCAACAAGATGCCGGAAAGCTCTGGGAGATTTCTTCTTTCTTGTGGGGCAAATTATGGTCTCAGATGCAATACCTTTTCTAGGATGGCTAGATGTAGTGAAGGTAAGAAAAGTTAAAACATAATCAAGATTGTTTTTTTTTTTTTTTGGTAAGGAACAGAATCAAGATTGTTATTGACTCGATCAACCAAAAGTTTGATCCAATTGACAAGCAACAAATATAACACGAATCTCTAAAAGCTGAGTCAATTGAGTCCCCATATCAACCATAATATAGATCATTTGCCTAGCTAAATACTCTTTTTGGTGAAGGGACGGGTGACTGAAATGAAGAGGACCGCCAAGGAACTGGATTGGGTTCTTGGAAGGTGGGTGGAGGACCACCGGAAAAGAAGGGCCGTCGCAAAAGTCGAGGATGATGAGCAAGACTTCATTCATTTTATGCTCTCTGCAACGGATTTGGAGGATGGGAAGTACTCTGTTCAAGAGGCTGATACTATCATCAAGGCCACTTGCTTGGTACACTGTTAAACTTTCACTGTAAATCCTTCTCGCTTTTGGTTGAGCTTTGGAGATTGTATTTCTCCGAAGATCTCGGGCTCTAGTGTATTTTGCTCAAAGCTTGGTCAGTTTCTTTTCTTTTTTTGTTCTTTAAGGCTGCTAGCAGTACTGGTCCGTGTTTGTGCTCCTAGTTCCCAGTCAAATTAGTAAGTTAAGTTGTAGAAGTCGAAGTAGGTGATAGTGAAAACCTCTTTCATAAGAAAACTCGAAACACGATTCCAGGTTAGGACATCCGACACGACAAGCAAAGTCTAGCCAATTGAGGAAATCTATGCAACTGCTGGTCACCATCCATTTCAGGAAAAAATCGATGCCATCATAGAGATACAAATTAGTCATTGCACAGACTTGTGATGTCATTCAGAAGGAACAAATCGAGAGAGAAAAAGAGCTTCTCCGTTTAATAATTTCCAAAATAACTTAGAATTCAAACTTCTAGAATGTCTCCAAGGCAATATAGTGCCCATACAATGTTATATCAGCAAAACACATTTCAATGCTCATATAGAACAGAAAAGAAGAATAAAAAAACATTGCAATGCTTAAATTTTTGAAGATCATTATGTTCCTCATTTTACAAACTTTTGGACTCTTACCCCAAACTGTTTGATTTACTACGGCAAGAGCACAAAACTAGCCACTGAAAAATGATGCTCACACATTTATATTGCAGAGTGTGATCTTGGGAGGCAATGACACCACAGTGTTGACTCTTACATGGGCGCTATCCCTTCTCCTAAACAACCAGCACTCCCTAAAAAGGGCCCAAGATGAGCTGGATGTCCGAGTTGGCAAGCACCGCCAAGTGGAAGAATCGGACATAAAAAACTTAACCTACTTACAAGCTGTGGTCAAGGAAACACTGCGTCTTTACCCCGTACTACCACTTTCTGCACCAAGGGAAGCCATGGAAGACTGCATCGTAGCCGGGTTCCATGTCCCTGCAGGTACACGCCTTATGGTTAACTTGTGGAAGCTGCAACGTGACCCCAGAATCTGGTCACGTGCATCAGAGTTTCAGCCAGAGAGATTCCTGACTGACCATGTTCATGTGGATGTTAGAGGTCATTCTTTTGAATATATACCATTTGGTTCTGGTAGGAGGATGTGTCCTGGGGTCTCATTTGGCCTACAAGTAGTACAACTTATTCTTGCCCGGCTGCTGCATGCATTCAAACTGGAAAGAGTCTCGGGTTCAGAGGTTGATATGAGTGAGAGTCCTGGATTGACAATGCCAAGAGCGACACCACTGGAGGTTGTACTTACACCAAGGTTACCAGCTACATGCTACTGAGCATTCAGAAAGAAAGCACCAAGTTAAACGTGTGTCACATATGGTTGTACCCATATTGACACTACATATCTGCCTGTATGCATGTGTTAAATGGAGTTCCCAAGTGATATTTGCTCTGCCTTGCCTTGTCAAACATTTTCTGCATAACATGTCTAGCCTAATTTCTTCTGAAAAAATAATATTGTTCAAGTTTCCTAATATTGATCTGCCATCTCAAAGCCGTTATCAAGTAAAACAGCCATGATCCTGCTTAACTCAATGTGACAACCCAAATCTGATCCCAGCCAGGTGCTGATCTGACCTAAATCACCCTCACAAAAGCAGCAAAACATATCCCTCCATGTGATATATTCAATTTTCAAAACATAGTGATATTAATGGTGTCTTCACAAAGAAAAAAAAAATTGGAGCATGGATCTGTTTAGACTCTCTTGCCATTATGGATCCAGTTGTAACCATCGGCAACGCTACACTAAATTACAATGGCCCAAATAATATAATCTTGCAAGCACGTCCACTACTGGAAAGAACATTTTACAGAAGTACATTCTTACAGATTTCCCATCACCATGGAGCACTAGCCTCCTCCTGGAACACACGTTCATGCCTCTCCGCATTCGCCTTCAGAGATTCTATATCAGCATCAAGTCTTTTCTTCAACTTCTTCAACTTGGTTAGCCTCACTTGAACGCTCCTCATCTCCTCGTTGACTGAAGCTTGCTTGCTTTCAGCATCTCGATACTTCTCTAACTCCGAAGCGACATTCTTGATTTGGTCCAACCGAGCACGTAAAAATTCAACTTTCATTCCCAGAAGCTCAAATCCCTCCAAAGTCTTATCCCACATCTCAAGGTCCGCTCTTGAAGTGGAGAGGTTGCTAGCTTTAACGGCATCCGCAATGTTGACCGTCTCAGAAATCATCTCAGCAGCCAACTTGTAATTAATGCTCTTGAGAAGGTTGTCATGCAGAAACCCATTCTGACTGGAGCAGAGCTCCAAATATCTTGTCCTCTGGTACTCAGAAAGGTCAGAGTCAATAGCTGTGCCATTGACAAGTACAGTCAGACTGCTGTTGCTTGTTGCCTCTCCGCAATCAATGGCAGATATTGAGTTTGAGAGTCTAGTCCTATGTGTGGCATCTGGACCGACCACGTCGCCCAACTTGGCAGGCTGATCAGGCGTGCATGGGGGATTTGTATCCAAAACCATCAAGCTTTTGCTTTGAGCATTGTCGGGAGATGTGTCTTGTGAAACAGGTCCTGAGCTCGGGGACTTCTTGTTGGGTATGACTTCCTTGTCCATCCGATTTTCTTTAGCATTCGGGAACATTAGAACATTAGTTTCAGAAACTTTGCAGAAGCATTTGATATATATAGCGGAGGGGAAAATGTGAAGATCTACACAGTTTACCAGAATCATTTTGTTTTCTGGGCGCATCCAGACCCAAAGCCCCTTGGGAACCATTCCCTCTCACAATGTGTACCTAAAATAAGATCAATGATGAAAGGATATGATCAGCTGTGGGAAAACTATTAAACTTTAATCTTGGTCACCAAAGCATGATCTGACTAAGAAACGTTGAAAGAGATTTACAAAAATAAATCTATGACCAGGCTGCTATCTGTTCTCTCAGTTTATTTTGATTTCTGGCATTATTAGGGTTATGGTGGTAATTGTTTACAGCCCTAGTATCATCTTCTTGATTTTGAGTCAAGCTTATACACATGCTACCAGCACATTGTGGCAATTATACGATGCTATCTCATGCAAAAACAGTCCCAGACCTAATTGAAATTTACCAGACAGGCCACAAATCTCGATCCTGCTGCTTCAAATAAGTGGAGCAATGGTCCTTCATACTAATATCCAGTCCTGTCGCCGGGTCATTCCTCGCTAAAATTACTCTTTCCTCTTCCTGCCTCACAAAATTACAGCTAGGCAGTGCTAGTAACACACTGATTTACATTTTCAATACTAGGCTTTGTCTGCTAACTTTTAGAGATCTCACAGGGTGGTTGCGTTGCTCTCAAAGCATTTTAAAAAGCATTCAGGACCATCAACTGCCTCCTTTTATTTCCCTAGCAAGAGCAGTACTCTACTTGGAAGTTTGCATGACAATGATGACATATGACTTATTATATGAAATGTCAAATAAGTCAAATAGAAATAAACCCAATTCAGCAGCACTCTCTTAGCCATCATAACTTACGGTTAACTGCCATCCATTTCTTTCTCTGGTAGAACGGCATTTGAACATTTGTTGTACTTATTACCAATCAAAAAACCTATTATCACGGACATGCATCAAAAGAATCTTTGCTTTCTTCTCATATCCAAATCTAGCACCAGTCTAGATAATTTCTATTCTGTTGTATGCATTAAACAAAAACCAAAGGGGTTACCTTGAAGATGGAGGGTCTGACCAACTGGAAAACTAGTACATCACCCTCTATTAATTCTCGTGCACTAGAGAACTTTTTCCATCCGGCACTTAGTGCTGTCTTATCCACGATGTAGTTTACAGGGTATTCTTCCCCATTCTCATCTTCCAAAGTAACGGTGATATTATGTCTTGGCATATGCAACTTGCAGAATGGCATGGGAAGATGCTGCAGGTAAGGAATGGGGAAGTGAGAATCTCATTTTCCTACCAGGACTTCTCTCATTCAAACATTAGTAAAGCGTTCTCGACTCACCAGCCAAAATCCAGTAGTAACATTTGACCGCACCATAGTCTTCAGGAAGCTAGGGATTTCAGCTGGCAAATTTGCTCGAAACTCTTCCGCCCGCTCCATGGCAGGAGATTTCCCCCCAACATGATCATAGTGATATAAGTCATCAATAACAAGTCTCTTCTGTCTGAAAAGAAAGTGGTCGCTGAAGCTGTCAGACATTAGTTAGTGAAGTTTATTGTTACTTGAAGAAAAATGAAATTACCAACCTTTTTGTCTCCCTATGGTAGGTTGATGCCACCTGCTCATGCATCGTGAAAGTTTATGACCAGTTAATAAGAAGTAGTGTATGCACTTCCAGCTGATAATAAAGATAACTGCATCTGATACAACTAGATGGCAAGTTCAGACTTGAAACAGACAGGACAAAGAAAAAAGGCCAAATAAGTAACTCCAAGGAACTAACTCAGAGCCACTGCGAACTTTTTCCGTGTATCCAAGCGAGTTGACAAACTTCTTGTACTAGGCATCAGCATCATCAAATCAATAATAAAACGAAGTAACTCCAATTGACTACAAAAAAGAGCAACCCTTTTCCCAGACACTGCACCCCTGTGGTTAAGCTGGAAAAAGAATTTGAGAAAGTCAGGCTGATGTTATTTTGGTCATTGTAGTTAGACTGATGCCTGCAAATTCTTCTACATGAAAGTGTTCAAGAAGTAAAGTCTGACATCCAGGATATCTCGTCAAATGTGATGAGGGGAAAGATAGAGATGTTGAGAATTAAAGTTCTGGTCCTAGTGAAACCAACAGCAGCAGTTTTCCTGGGCATTTATCTAGGAGTTCTTCAAAACTGTCCTGGAACAGCCAATGAAAAACTGGGCAAACTTGCCCAGAATGAAAACTGAGCAGTCAAAAGCTTCCTAATTTGAAGAAAACCACATGATGCCCGTTTAGTGGCTCCTTTCAGAATCCTAGAGCACAAGTTCTGAGGAAATTGGATGCACAAGTGCGCATCATGACGAACTCTGACCACCATCAGGCTCCATTTCACAAGTTCAATCAATCCTGGAGCGTTTGGCCGTTTTTTGTGAAAGCGCAAAAAGAGGAACGACCAACCTCGCGCTTCTTCAGGACCAAACAAAAACCCTAGACAAGAAGCATCCTAAACACGGAAGCGCTAACGGCGTGCAGCCTACGAGCACAAAATCTGAACTATTACTTCTCCATTCTTCCAGACAATCGTACACATTGAGGATAAGCAAATGACCCCCAAGTTCAACCGGTCCTGAGAACGGGAGGTACGACCATTGGCAACTTCAGGGAGCTCAAAAGGTAAACAGCAGGAGTAAGAGACATCCTCACTTGTTCGGACTTGGGATCTGGATCCAACGGCTTCTTGACCATCAGCGACATCTCGATCTTGGGTTTGTCCTTGCTCCTTCTGGGTATACGAAAAACCCAAAAAAGATTCAAGGCAAAGATCAATCAAACTCAACCCAGAGGAACAGAAAGAGAGATTGGGAAGAATCAGGAGAGCTGCGAGTGGACGGAGCAGGAGAGAGAGAAAGAGGGAGGTGAATCCTAGCGAGTCACTTCGGGGGCTCTGTACGGTGTCGCTCGCTCACCCGAAGGCTTCGAGCAAGGGGGCCTCTTCTTGAAAGTCCCGACGTTGTCACGCTGCGCTCTTTCGTTGTCGCCTCTTTTCTGGTCTAGTCTCCCATGAAGTCGCCAGGAACAAAAACACCGGGTGAATCCGAAAGGGGGGGCGTCCTAGCGACAGCTTCTTCTCCTAGATATTTTCACTTAGTGGCAATGACTGCTATTTTGGTGGCGATTTAATACAGTGTCCGCCGGGCGTATTTGACGCTCAACCAGTGAACGTGAACGAAGATTCATGGCCGAATCAGCAATACAGACCCCACATCAAGATCGAATTTTTATCGACGATTCAGTAAGCTGAAGCTCCAAATTTTCACCTCCCAGGTAAATAATAGAGAGGTTCTTGCATTTTTTGTCATGAACCCACTAACCCCACATCGATTCTTGAATCTTGCACGAAATGCAGTGGCGGAATCTTGAAATTTCTTCCCTAGTCTTCTTCTTGTTCTTGGTCTTGCGAATCTGACCTATGTTTAGAAACTTGAGGTTGGATGACCTTTTCCTTCTCTTCTTCTTTTTTTGTGTTGAAGATTGTGATGAAGTGATCCTTGGAGCCCATTCGATCAGCAGCTAATTACTGTTTTCTGTTAGACCAGATGATCAACCATACGACGAAGAGGTCGTGGGATTGGCGGAAATGTTTCGCATTTCATTGCTTCGATGTGTCTTCAATCATCAAATGTCCTCCCACTCACTTTTCAACTCGAGTAAACCGAAAAGTTTAGATTGCATCTTGCGAAAAATATTGCGTGAAGTTAACTCGAGGAACAGATGCATGAGATGAACATTGAATTTGATGGTCGTACATGAGATTGGTCGAATTCAATGGTCTAAATTGTTAGGGGCAAGTTGAATTCCTCTCATTGTGTAGGTAATGGCAACTAGGAACACAAATACCTTTGTACTTATACTTTCACGTCTTTTTTCCAATCAAGTCCCTCTGATTTTACTTATTTTCTAATTAGATCCCTTTAACACCAGATTCAGTTAATGTGGTAGTCGAACAACATCACGGTGTGGCGTGGAATGTTTTCTTTTTCCAATTTGAATTTCTGTTTTGGCTAATTATTTTCCCACATCGTAACCCAACATTATCTACTTCAATTAAGTTTTCCTTCACATGTCCACTTCGACATTAGTACATTTTTTTCGCATCATACTTTGGTGTCGCCCGATGGACACCTTAGCTGAATTCAATTGAAATTGATACCGGAGAAACTTAATTAATAATTAACTTGGGCATCAAATGCATTAGATATGTGTGAACTTACTTCTAAAACATTGAATTTGATGGGTCTTTATTGAGGTTTGCCCAATTCAATGATCTAGATCTTTAGGGGCAAGTCAAATTGCTCAAATTCCTCTTATAGTGTAAGTAACCGCAACTAGGAGCACGAATACTTTCCGTACTTACAACTTCACACTTTTTTCTAATAAAATCTTATATTATTTGTATAATCAAATCCTTCCACCTTTACAAACTTTCTAATTAGATCCCTTTAACACCAAATTCGACCAAATTCAATTAACGTGATCGTTATTCGACCCAAAAAAAAAATTAACTTGGTCGTTAAACAAAATTCGTAGTATGATGTGGATGAAGTTTTTCTAATTTGGATGTCCATATTGGCTAATTTTAATCCACATCATACTCCAACATTTTCTAAATTGATTAAGTTTTTTCACATATGTCCATATTGCGATGTCCATTGTACCTTGGCATGGGTCGACAGGGATATTAGCTGAATTTAGTCAAATTTGATGTCAAGAAACTCAATTAAAAAATTTGTGAAAGTAGAAGGACTTGATTGGACAAATTAAAAGTGTATGAAATTGATTAGAAAATGCATGAATATATCAGAACGATAGTAGATTTTTTCCTTATTGAATCTATAATACATAATAATAAATATGAAAGCGACTTTTTGCCACAAAGCCATTAATGCTGAGTTTCTTCTTTTCCTTGCATTAAATATGTGAACTGGTTATTATACATGTCCAATGTATCTATAATTCATAATCTATGATTATGAAGACGGTTTTTTGGTCATTAATGTTGTATTTTTTTTCTCCACAATCAATGCTATTGAACCTTGAGTCTCATCTAATATTCAATCCATGGATGGGTTTTTTTTTTTTAGCTGTTTTTAATGGGTGGATGGCTAATCAATTTAAATTGGAAGAAATGCAACATAGAATAGGAAGGATAGGCAAAAGTGAATTAATATTTGCAAATCACCTCCTGCAACACAAAGAAATGTCAAATCACAAAAAAAACGAGAAATTTACAAACGAATAATCACGGTATGTACAATTTTAATGGTCTTCTCTAGTACTTTTATAATCTATAATCTTATATAGAACAAGTATGTCGATAATCAACAAACTTCAAATTTACATATTGAACCTCATAAGGAAAACAAGCCTATCGAAGTTGTCTCAAATAAAAAGTTCGTTAAAATAATGCAAAAGACTTTATTTATTTCTTATAATGTATCAGGATTTTTTCGTTTATAAAAACAATTTTCGATCGATTAATTATAAATTGCTCCTAACGAGTGGTTAGTAATTTTTTTAATGGGAAATTTGTTCATATATCAAGTAATTATACTAATCGATGTTTCATAAATGTACATGAGTTTTGTAATTATGTGTTTTCTTCTGGTATAATAACACAAACAATCCCCGAATCTTTGCATTAATTCATGAACTTTTAATTTGTTAAATATAATCCTTAAATTTTAATCTAATATTTAATGTGGTACCTGAATTTTTAATTTGTTCAATGTGTTTTTTTAAAATTTTGGTGTATGTACAATATAGTTCCCGAACTACATGAAATGTTCAATGTAGTATCTGAATTTGAATTAATGAAATTACTACATTGAAAATTTGCATATAATTCATGAACTAAATTGAATATATACTAAAAATTCATGGATGACATTAAACAAATTAAAAGTTCACGAATCACATTAGACGTTGGATCAAAGTTCGAGAATTATATCGAACAAATTAAAAGTTCGAGGACCATATTACACATCAAAGTTTTTGTTTCGTTTTCCCTTATTTCTTTTTATCATTTTTAACATGAACATCTTTGGTCATTCATCCATGGACAAACAGTAGACCAAAACGTTCCTTAGATTGAAGAACTAAAAAGCATGCGCTCCATGGAGAGAGAGCAGTGTTAGCGCCAAGGATGCGGAAGCGAAGCCCATCGCCATCAGATTCAGCTTCGCCGCCGCCGCCGCCGCCGCCGCCGCCAGCGCCGCGATGCAAGGTCTCCATCACCACCCGCACCAGCTGCAGCAACACCAGCTAGCGGCTCTCCTCTCCGTCGCCCTCCCCAAGGACGACTCCTCGGCTCCTCCCTCCTCCTCCTCCCCCGCCGCGCCGTCGCCGTCGCCTTCTCCCCCGGCGGCGGCGGCGAAGCCCGTCCCCTCCGTCGAGAGCGACGAGTCCACCCGGCTCGGCGCCATCGGCTCGCTCCACCGGGCGATACTCTACCCGCCGAACTCCCTCCTCGTAGCTCACTCCGCGGCTTTCCTCTCCCAGGGCCTCTTGCAGCTCCTGTCCGACAAGTAAGAACACTCTCTCTCGCGTGTAAATTGTGTTCGAGGATCATCGTCTGCTTGTGACTTGCAAAATGCGCCAAACGTGGTCGTTTGATTGAAGTTCGAGTTTGGTGGCGAATACTTCCTGCTGGCCAATCGTGCGAACCGATGAATTTCTGTGAAATATATTTGGTTCTGTCGTTGCGATAGGGCCTTATTTGAAGTGTGGGATGTAGGAGGAGTAACCGAAAGGGGAAATAGGAATTTAAGGAGATTAAGTTCGTTTCCACTATGTGCTGTATTTGGGCGCCGAGCGAATCAGCTGACTTTTTCAATCTGTCGGAAAGATCCTTCATGACCGGTGAATATTTTTAGAGCCTTGATGAAGCCAATTGAAATCATGCTTTCTTCGTTTGTTTTGTGCATTTTCTCTAATCAGTGAGTTTTTACACAGTGCTGTAATTGGAGAGCACAAAGATGTGCACAACAACTTTTAGGAAAAAGTCGCGTAGGATATAGTTATGGTTTGGCAATTGCAATAAGCTTGTCGTGCTAGCTGCAAACATATTGAGCTTTCAACTAAATCTTGGCATCTTGCCGACTCTTATGTTTTTTGGCCCTCCTCTGAAATATGATCGCGTAGGTTAAATAGATGCAATTGAGGGATTCCTAATTTCTAATGCAATCAGTACTCTTTCCTGAGGCTTGAAATCTCTAGGAGATTGAATCAAATTGAATGATCTTGATTTTGACTCGTTACTTCATACAAGATGTTAGCAGTTTGGCCACTGTCTTGGACCTCTTGGCTGTAAAGGCAATCACTTAAATTAAAAAGCACCAGAGTAACCGATTTCATGTCTTTTGTGGAGAACGCTGTTCTTCGACTTGAGACAAAATTGAGCAAAAGGATTCATATAGCCGACCCCACTTAGGGGGATGAGGCTTAGTTTGTTTCTCTTATCGTTGTTGTTGCTCATTTCTCGACCACCTTTCCTATTTGATTGATGCACTGTACAACCTATCAATTGAACTGATAGCACAGTACTATAAGCTATAGTAATTTTATCAACTTCCTGAGCAGATCATACTCGGTCAGGCAATTATCTGCCACAGCATATGGGGCCCTCTGCGCTGTAGTTTGTTCGATTCCTATAGCATCAAATGGAAGACAAAACCATGTCATGCTTGGTACTATGGTGGATAGGTTCATTAGCTGGTCATTACCGTTGCTCAATAACGTTAATGCTGGTGATGGTACAGCAGAACTGGCACTCGACAGCCTCCGGGAGTTTCTTAATGTTGGGGATGTTAATGGAATTGAAAGATATGCACTACCAATTCTCAAAGCATGCCAACAGCTACTTGAAGATGAGAGAACCTCCTTGAGTTTATTGCATCGCCTTCTTGGCATTATAACTCTGATCTCACTGAAATTTTCTAGATGCTTCCAACCTCATTTTGTGGACATCGTGGATCTGCTTCTTGGCTGGGCATTGATACCGGACTTTGGGGAATCAGATAGACGTGTTATTATGGATTGTTTCTTGCAATGCCAAAAGCATTGGGTCAGTAATTTGCAGTTCTCGCTTGGACTAATGTCGAAGTTCCTGGGTGACATGGATGCGCTGCTGCAGGATGGGAGTCTGGGTACTCCACAACAATTTCGAAGACTGCTAGCCCTGCTTTCTTGCTTTTCTACCATCCTGCAGTCCACTGCTTCTGGGTTGTTGGAAGCAAATCTTCTTGGACAAATAAGGGAACCACTTAGCAAGATGCTTCCACAGTTGCTAGGCTGTTTATCTTTGCTCGGACAAAGATTTGGATGGTCAAAATGGATCGGGGATTTGTGGAAGTGCTTGACTCTCTTGGCAGAAATTTTACGTGAAAATTTCTCCACCTTGTATCCACTTGCCGTAGATACTTTATTCCAGAGCGTGAAAATGAACAATGGTCATTCAGCTATGGGAGCTGGAAAAATAAGTTCATTTCAAGTTCACGGAGTCTTAAAGACAAATCTTCAGCTATTATCGTTGCAGAAGCTTGGCCTTCTCTCATCATCTGTGCACAAAATACTGCCATTTGATGCCCCGGTATCTCAGCTTCGTTTGCATCCAAATCACGTAGTGACAGCAAGTTGTGCCGCAACTTATGTTTTCTTGCTGCAACATGGGAATAATGAAGTCGTGCAACAAGCAATGGACTCGTTGTTGGTGGAATTGGATATGCTGAAAGGTATGCTCAAAAAAGCTTTGGTGCATGGAGATGTTGATGTTAATGGTCCTCACCAGGAAACCTATTCTAAACTCGAGTTGTTTGCTCTTATTAAGTTTGATCTGAAAGTGCTATTGACCTGTGTCCTTTTAAGTGGAAATGACAGTTTGATTGATCGACCAGATGTCGCGACCTTGTATCTTCAGAGATCAGAAACATTAGCGTGTTTTCTTCTTGAGCATCTGAATCCCTTGAACTTTCCTATTGAGGCCTGCGTTGATTTGCAAATAAGTGTCATGATGACATTAGAAAGGCTAAGTACAGTTGAGTTCTTGAGCAAATGTGCCACGGGTGATAGTTGTACTCGGAATCCTTTAGTGGATGTTGCTTCAGAAGACTTACTTACTGATGCTTCGCTAAAGAATCGGCTTTCAGCTATAACTGTGGAGCACCTGAGGAAGTACTGTTGCCTCCTCGTCAAAGCTTTGCACGCATCTTCTCCTCTTGCAGTTAAATTAGCCGCGCTAGAGTGGGTACGGAGGTTCTGTGAAAATGTCCTCGCTATGACAGAAAATTTGAACTCACGAACTTATTTGTTTGATTCTTTTATATGTACTGGGGATCTCCGAAATTTGATCTTCTCTGTATTGGATGCTGCATCTGATAAGGAACCCAAAGTGAGGTCCCATGTTGCATTAGTTTTGGAGCTGCTTTTGAAAGCAAGACTATTGCATCCCATTAACTTCTCTTTGATAGCTCAAGCCGTCCTAGAAAGACTTGGTGATCCGGAGCATGATATGAAGACTACTTTTACAAAGCTTCTTTGCCATGTATTGCCTGCGATGGTTTATTCCTGTGGTCTCTATGAGTATGGTACTGGTGTTATATGCAAGCCTCTTAAGGGAAACATTTCCAGCTTGCATTGGAAGCAATTATTTGCTCTGAAGCAGTTGCCTCGACAACTTCAAGCTCAACAGCTTGTTTCCATTCTGAGTTACATTTCGCAGAGGTGGAAGGTCCCTTTGTCTTGTTGGGTTCAACGGCTCATCCATAGTTGCCGGAGAGTTAGGGAACCCTCTCCGAATCAACTAGAGGAAATCGGAAGCTTGGGCACTTGTGGTGCATGGTTAGACATTGAAGTGGACGATAATGTTCTTGAAGAAATTTGTTCCGTGAATGTCCTGGCAGGTGCTTGGTGGGCTATACATGAAGCGGCAAGATATTGTGTTTCGACCCGCCTCCGGACAAACCTTGGTGGACCCACCCAAACATTTGCTGCATTGGAGAGAATGCTCTTGGATGTTGTGCACGTGCTGCAGCTTGACAGCGAGCAAAATGATGGTAACTTAAGTATGATAAATACTTCTGGTGCTCATTTGTTGCCTATGAGACTATTATTGGAATTTGTAGAATCCTTAAAAAAAAATGTTTATAATGCCTACGAGGGATCTGCTGTGTTACCATCCGTTACTCGCCAGAGTTCCTTATTTTTCCGGGCTAATAAGAAAGTCTGTGAGGAATGGTTCTCTCGTATATGTGAGCCAATGATGAATGCTGGATTGGCGCTAAATTGCCACTATGCTACCATTCAATACTGTGTCTTGCGATTGCAAGAGTTAAGAAGCCTCGTCTCTTTGGCTTTGAAAGAAACGTCCAGGTCACAGATTTCAGAGACTTTCCAGACTATCAGGAGCAGATTTTCTGAAGATATCCTAAGGGTATTGCACCACATGGCATTGGCTCTGTGTAGGTGCCATGAACCGGAGGCTCTGGTTGGCCTACAAACGTGGGTTTCAATGACTTTTCCTTCATTGCTTGTTGAGGAGAACCAGTTCATGGATCAAAATGGGGCTTTGAGACCCTTAGCATGGATCACTGGGCTTGTATACCAGGCAGAAGGTCAATATGAAAAATCTGCTGCTCACTTTACTCACTTGCTTCAGAACGAGGAATCTCTTAGTTCGATGGGTTCGGCTGGGGTGCAGTTCGCTATTGCACGTATCATTGAGAGTTATTCTGCTTTATCAGATTGGAGAAGTCTAGAGTCATGGTTGGTGGAATTGCAAATGCTTCGTGCCAGACATGCTGGTAAGAGTTATGCCGGTGCTCTAACAACAGCAGGTAATGAAATAAATGCTATCCATGCCTTGGCTCATTTTGATGAGGGTGAGCATCAGGCAGCATGGGCCTCCCTTGATTTGACACCAAAAAGTAGCAGTGAGCTCTCACTTGACCCCAAGGTAGCATTGTTAAGGAGCGAGCAGATGCTCTTACAGGCAATGCTTCTTCAAGTGGAAGGAAAAATAGAGAAGTTGCCCCATGACTTGCAGAAGTCTAAACGAATGCTGGAGGAAGCATTGGCTGTTCTGCCTCTTGATGGTTTAACTGATGCAGCGGCATATGCTACACAGTTGCACTGTATCTTGGAATTTGAACGCGGATTTACTCTCAGAGGAGGTCAGGACGAATCCAAACAATTCCAATCAATATTGAGTTCATATGTCCATCCAATTCAACATCCACTTAATCTAGCGAACCAAGATTGTTACCCATGGTTAAAGGTTCTCAGGGTATATCGGACCATCTATCCAGCTTATCCTGTTACAATGAATCTGTGTATGAACTTGTTGCGTTTAGCTCGCAAGCAACAGAACATTATGTTGGCACGTCGTTTAAAGAGTTATCTTATAGAACATGTATCGAGATGCTCAGAGGAGAGAGTGTGCAATTCTTTAAAATTGAATTTGGAGTATGAGGGAGCCTTGCTAATGTATGCTGAAAAGAAATATGAAGATGCTTTTAATAGTCTTTGGTCATTTGTCCGTCCTTGCATGATATCTTCAGCATCGAAAGTTTCTGATGCCGATGAAAGTATTCTGAAGGCAAAAGCATGTCTGAAACTATCAAACTGGCTACAATGCAAGTATTCAGATATTTCCCTGGAGATGCTTTCTGCAAGGATGCAAGCCGACTTTGAGATAGCTGATTGTTCTTTTATTGGTAAAGGAGGGGTCCCTTTGAATTATGATAACTTAAGCTCCCAAAGAGATGCCAGCCTCATTATTGAAGAAATCATCAGTACAGCTACAAAATTGTCCACTCGTCTTTGCCCATTTATGGGAAAGTCATGGATCTCTTATGGCTCTTGGTGTTTTAATCAAGCCCGGAATTCCCTGCTCAAATCAAATGAAACTGCCCTTCATTCATGCTCTTCATCTCCTTTTCTTGTCCCTGAAGTCCAACCGGACAGACTTAAGTTGAATGATGATGAGATGATGAGAGTTGAGTCAATGATTTTGCAACGGGTTGGCAAGCTGGGTGATGCTGCGGGCTTAAAGGATAGAGTGGGAGAAAAGGATGTTTGCCTTCTTTCTGCTGAAAATTTGAGCAATGTTAATCTTGTGAAGGCTTTGTTGCAGCAAGCAGTGAATATCATTGAAGTAACAGCAGGGGCACCTGGTGCTGAAGATTCAGCCAGCGACTGCCTTTCTAGTTCTGTAGTTTCCAGGTTACAGACATTCTTTCTACATACAAATATTGGACTAGAAGAGAGAGACATTGAATGTCTTGTTGATGAGTTAGTTGATATTTGGTGGTCTCTGAGGAGAAGAAAAGTGTCTCTTTTTGGCTACGCTGCTCATGGATTTATACAGTATCTTTCATATGCCTCATCAAATACTTGCAATGGCGAATTGATTGGCTCAGGCTATGAGTCATTGAAACATAAAAGCAGCAGTTACACTTTGAGGGCTACACTGTATGTGCTGCATATTCTTCTAAATTATGGAGTGGAATTAAAAGAAACTCTTGAACCTTCTCTTTCAGCAGTCCCTCTGTTTCCATGGCAGGCAAGTGCTCTTTCTGTGCTAAAGTTTCTTTATTTTTTCAACGAATTGTTTTATAATCCTCTGGATCTTTATAGGAAGTGACGCCTCAATTGTTTGCTCGGTTAAGTTCTCATCCTGAACAAGTAGTGAGAAGACAATTACAAAGCTTATTGATGATGCTGGGGAAGCGTTCACCCTGGTCCATTGTTTATCCTACCCTGGTTGATGTAAATGCTAATGAAGACAAACCTTCGGATGAGCTACAGCATGTATTGGGTTGTCTGGTAATCCATCTTCTTTTGCTGCACTCTTCTGTCATGTGAATAACTATGTTGGCTAGAAAGTTCTAGTACCCATGGTTGGGGAATAAACAGCAAAGCTTGCTATCTTCTGGTCTGATTTGTCTTCTCAATTTAAGAAAAGTGAATTTTATATAAATAGGTGAGAGGGTTATGAATGTGGCCTTATCTTGAAGATAAAAAATATAAAGATGTAAATTAATTTAAACTCTTTAATTGCATTGAAATCTACTAAGGGTTGCAATGCAAAATGTGAAAGATATAGTGGCTTTGAAAAGTAATGTAGTTCATGATGGCTGAAGAAGGGGTTAGTTTTGCTTATCAAATGCCAGCCTCTCTTTCAGACAGTGTGCAAATTGCTAGACTGAAGCACAGAAATATCCTTTAAATATTTCTAGATGAAGGCCTTGTAGACATCATTGGTTTTCTGGATCTAGTTATAGTTACTACGAAAAGGTTGTTGCGTGAGTCGGTGCTTTGTAGATCTACCAACAAAAGACTATCTTTTTAGTTTTCTCGCTGCCCACATGTGGTTTACATTGCATTTATATGTGAGAAATAGGACGGAAGTTCCACATAAGTGGAAAATGCCTTGTTAACTAAGCTATTTATAGTAAATTATGTGGCACCGAAAAGGGAAATAAGTGGAAGTAAGAGTTCATCTTACCCTTATATTCTTGTCTTTATTATTTGAGTACTATGTGCAATTTGTTACTTTTTGATGAGTCATGAGCGCACTTTTGTGGTGTCTGGTTTGTTCAATGAACGGACTCAAAATCTTAAATCTCATTAGAAAACATTTGAACATCATCCCCCCCAAAAAATAAAAATATAAAAAGCCGGAAAAAAATACCGTAAAATGAGGAGTGAGAAAGTGAACGTTATTGGCGACATTATTACCTCGGATTTGCACAGGCTACCACCACGGGTTTGTCACTTGACCAGATCTGGAGTTGTGAGCAACGACAAACTCTGTTTTGCTTCTGCAGAGAGCTTTTCTGTAATATAGTCATTGCTTTGTTTAAGTATCAATTTGATAGTTACCACTATTTATTTACATGCAGCTAGATCTTCACCCAAAATTGATTCAAGATGTTCAGCTCATGATAAATGAACTTAGTAACGTAACCGTTCTCTGGGAGGAACTCTGGCTTAGCACACTTCATGATCTTCACTCAGGTACTCTTGCCTTTTTGGATGACACATTTGTTGTGTTGTGTTGTCTAGCAGGTCAAGTTTTGTGATCCTTTAAGCGTGTTGAGATTGGAGGCCAAATTTCTTTCTTTTTTTCCTTTTCATTCTCTATGAAGTCTCCAATGTACACATGGTTTTTCTATCTAAAACTCCCTCCAGGATTGAATGTTAAATGGGTCTCTATCTATGTAGATTTGCTATTATGCCAACTTTTCACTAATTTGAGGCCATCCAAAAATCTCTCATGCAGATGTAATGAGGCGCATCCACATTCTGAAAGAGGAGGCTGCACGGATTGCAGAGAATATTACTCTCAGCCAGAGTGAGAAAAGCAAGATAAATGCAGCTAAGTATTCAGCTATGATGGCGCCTGTTATTTTAACCCTTGAGCGTCGCCTGGCTTCTACAACCCGGAAACCTGTAACGCCTCATGAAACGAGGTTCCATGAGCAGTACATCGAGCAACTGAAAAGTACAATTTTGACATTCAAGAATCCTCCTAAATCTGCTGCTTCAGTTGCGGATGTATGGCGGCCATTTGATACCATTGCTGCATCTTTAACATCTTATCAGAGGAAGTCTTCAGTTTCCTTGGGGGAAGTAGCTCCACAACTTGCTCTCTTGTCATCATCTGATGTTCCTATGCCTGGGCTTGAGAAACTGGTCGCACTATCTGAAGCAGACGGTGGCCTCACTGTTCTTCCCAGTGTTGTAACAATTTCTTCCTTTTCTGAACAAGTAACAATAATATCAACAAAGACTAAACCTAAAAAGATCAACATCATTGGTTCAGATGGTCAAAACTACCCTTATCTGTTGAAAGGAAGGGAAGATTTACGCCTTGATGCCAGAATAATGCAGCTTTTGCATGCTATTGATAGTTTATTACATTCATCTCGCACGACTCGTAGTCATTTGGTTGGTGTTCGCCATTATTCAGTGACTCCAATCAGTGGTCGGGCTGGTCTTATCCAGTGGGTGGACAATGTGATAAGTGTGTACAGTGTCTACAAGTGTTGGCAAGCCCGAGATCAAGCAGCTGTACAGCCATCTTCTGGCACTGGAAACACAAAAACGGTTCCTCCACCTGTTCCACGTCCAAGTGATATGTTTTATGGTAAGATCATCCCAGCACTCAAAGAAAAAGGCATAAGGAGAGTAATATCTCGAAAAGACTGGCCTCACGAAGTCAAGCGTAAAGTTCTTATGGATCTTATGCAAGAAGTTCCTCGGCAACTTTTGTATCAGGAGCTGTGGTGTGCTAGTGAAGGATTCAAGGCATTCAATTTAAAGTTGAAAAGGTGTGATTCCATTTGCTGGTAGTATTTTGCTCTCAGTGGTGAAGTGTTTGTCCTGTAGTTGAAGCGGTATCCTGACACTGTTAATACTGTAGTTGTGGACACCAACATTTCTCAATGTCTCTTGAAAACGTTATTGCAATTTAATTGTAAGTTGTAACAAGGCCTATGCTGCATTTCTACCCCACTTGCAGGTACTCTGGAAGTGTTGCAGCCATGAGCATGGTTGGCCACATTCTTGGTCTTGGAGATAGACATCTAGATAATATTCTCGTGGATTTCCGTAGTGGAGATATACTTCATATTGACTACAATATATGCTTTGATAAAGGGCTGAGACTCAAGATCCCAGAAATCGTTCCTTTCCGACTAACACAGATGATTGAAGCAGCTTTAGGGTTGACTGGAGTTGAAGGGATTTTCAAAGCTAACTGTGAAGCAGTTCTTGGTGTACTGAGGAAAAATAAAGACATACTCCTGATGCTACTGGAGGTTTTTGTCTGGGATCCACTTGTAGAATGGACTAGGGGAGACTTTCACGATGATGCAGCAATTGGCGGTGAAGAGAGAAAGGGCATGGAGTTGGCTGTGAGCTTAAGCTTGTTTGCATCTCGAGTGCAAGAAATTCGTGTTCCACTGCAGGTACTTATCAATTCAGACTCAGCTCGTGTATCTGTTTCAGAAGTGAAGTTTAGGCAAATTAATTTAAGAAACTAGCCTTTTTACCTGCTTGATGCACTTGATTCTGAAACTATAAGTAGCATTGTGTCTAGTATTAAGTGGATTATAGAGTGTCATTTAATGTCTTAGTAGCGATTAGAACTTGTTTGTCATTAGAACAAGAATAAATGACTGACTTTTGTGGTTGCGAGGTGTGGCTCAACCACTTTGCATCATTGCTACCCACTTCTATATTTTTCCTTTTTAGAATATTCATTGATACTGGACTGTTGATAAAAAATAATTCTAATTTGAGACTGCTTCTTAATTATCAAACACAAGTCATTATTTTCTCGGGGTTATCGCTAAACCTGTCTTTCAGGTGGCATGACCGAAGTGAGTGGTGTTTCCACCTTGTGCACTTCAATGCGTAGTGCTCCTCATAGTATGTGAGTCAATGATCATTGGCTGGCAATAATATCTGTAAACAATTGGCTGCACTACTATGCACTGTGTTCATAACGATACTATATGAAATTAGCTGGTTATATGGCCCCTGGCTGACGCTAATATCTGGAAAGAATTGATAATTTTGTGTCGTTTTTTTCAGGAACATCATGATCTTTTAATATCTTCCTTGCCAGCTGTTGAATCTACCCTTGAGGTATGAAAATTGACTGCCTGTAAATTTTGATTCTTCCGAGTAAAATCATGTCTTGAATGATATTTCGCTGACATTGTTAACTATGTACCAGAGGTTTTCTGACGTGCTCAACAACTATGAACTCATTTCTGCCCTATTCTGTCGAGCTGATCAAGAGCGGTCTAACCTTATTCTACATGAGACATCCGCAAAGTCAATCGTTGCTGAAGCAACTTGTAATTCGGAAAAACTTCTTGCATCTTTTGAAATTCAGGCTCGTGAGTTTTCTCAAGCAAAAGCTTTGGTTGCTGAAAAAGCTCAAGAGACAACAAGCTGGATTGAGCAACATGGAAGGATCCTTGATGCTCTTAGGGGCAATCTGATAGCAGATCTAAATGCCTGGAATAATCTAAGTAGTCTCAGAGAAGCTTTGTCCCTTTCATCAGCAGTCCTGGTGGCTGGGGTTCCACTTACTGTTGTTCCCGAGCCGACACAAGTACAATGCACTGATTTAGATAGGGAACTCTCTAAGCTTGTGGCTGAGTTAGATCATGGTGTGTCATCATCTCTCACTGCAATTCAGGTTTACTCTCTAGCTTTGCAGAGAATTCTTCCTCTAAATTACCTCACGACCAGCACGGTGTATAGCTGGGCACAAATTTTGCAGTTATGTTCAGGTGTTCTTACATCTGATATCATTTCCATTGCCCGAAGACAGGCTGCTGAATTGATATCTAAGATACTAAGTGATTCTCGTGATTCGGTCAAACATGCTCATGATGATCTGTGTCTAAAAGTCAGTAAGTATGCCTTTGAGATAGGGAAAGTTGAAGATGAGTGTGCTGAGCTAGAGAACTCTGTTGGCTCTGAGGCTGAATCTAAAGCTAAGGACCGTCTTCTCTCTAGTTTCATGAAATACATGCAATCTGCCACTGTAGAGAAGAAAGATAATTTACATTCGCCGGTTTATCCTGGTCAATCTGAGTATGATGACACAAACAACGTGAGGTATCATAGCCAGTTAGCAGAAAAAAAAGAGAAGGCCTTTTATGTGTTGAACTTAGCTGTTGCATCTATTTATGATGATGTGAAAAAGAGGATTCTTGACATGGCTGATGCCAACGGGAAAGGGAATGGCAATAGGTCTCTCGATGATTCCTCATCTTTGTTTGGTGAACTCGAAGAGCTAGTAGAGAAATGCTCAGTTGTTACTGAATTCGTGAATGATCTACGGCAGTTTGCTGACTGGGATGTTCCTTGCAGTGACACAAGTATGGAAAGTCGGGAACCTTTTCCTGAAGAAAACTGGGCATCAATTTTCAAAAGCACTGTTGTTTCCTGTAAAAGCTTGGTTGATCAATTGTCTGATGTTTTACCAGATGTGATCAGAAATGTTGTTGCATTCAATTCAGAGTTTGCAGATGTATTTGGATCGGTCTCACAAGTTCGTGGCACTATTGACTCTGCACTCGAGCAGCTATTGGAGGTTGAAATGGAGCGGGGAACTGTCATTGAACTTGAACGGAATTACTTTGTTAAGGTAGCCCTTATCACTAAGCGGCAGTTGGCTCTTGAAGAAGCGGCTCTTAAGGGTAGGGATCATCTTTCCTGGGAAGAGGCTGAAGAATTAGCATCTCAGGAAGAATCTTGTAGGGCACAACTTGACCAACTCCACCAATCCTGGAACCAGAGGGACAAACGTACTTCTTCTCTCATTAAGAGAGAAACGGATGTTGAAAGTGTCTTGAGTTCATGTCAACGTCATTTTCAATCTTTAATGAATGCGGGAGAGGAAATAGACTCGCTTGCTTTAAGAGGCCAAGCACTCTTGTCCACGTTGGTCAATCCCTTCCATGAATTAGAATCCCTGGACAAAGTTCTGTCTTCAGTTGGTGCTTCTTCTTTGCATGCAGGCATTAGGGATCCTAATTTAGCAGATTGTTTAAGTTCTGGGCAAGCGTTATCTGAAAAGGTCTGGAAGTTTGGTGGTTCTGTGAAGAAAATGGGCTTCTTTATTTGGAAAGTATGTGTTCTGGATTCATTTCTTGATGTATGCACCCATGAGGTGGCTTCGTCTATGGACCAAAAGTTAGGTTTTGACCAGCTTGTCAACGCTGCAAGGAAAAAGCTTGTGCTCCAGCTTGAGAAACACGTTGGTCATTACCTGAAAGATTGTATTCTGCCTATATTTAAGGCATGGTTAGAGAAAATGAATGACCATTCTAAGCAACTGAATGGGTCGAGGAAGGAATTAGTCTTTGAGCAGTCGCACAAAGACCTTGGGGCAGTTAAAAGGGTCCAGCTTATGCTTGAAGAATACTGCAATGCACACGAAACTGCTCGTGCGGCAAGGTCGGCAGCATCCCTTATGAAAAGGCAGGTACATGAGCTCAAAGAGAATGTAAAGAAGGACTGCATAGAGATTGTTCAGATGGAATGGATGTATGATGTTCTATTGACCCCCTCATCTAATAGCCGGATCACATTGCATAAATTGCTAGCCAGTGGTGACAACCTGCAACAAATCATTCTCAATCTCAACAGGCAAAGACTGTTGGAAGTAATGCAATCTGCTGTATCCAGAATAGCTCGGACAATTGAGGGCCTGCAAGCTGTTGAAAGAACTTCCCTTGCTGCAGAAGGACAGCTGGAAAGGGCAATGGGATGGGCGTGTGGTGGTAGCTCTTCTGGTCTTGCCGGAAATAGTTCCAGTAAAATGTCAAAAATTCCTCCTGAGTTCCATGATTATTTAACGAGTAGACGGCAATTGTTGTGGGATGCAAGGGAGAAAGCATCTGAAATAATCAAAATTTGCATGTCTATACTGGAATTTGAAGCATCAAGAGATGGCATTTTCTGGGTTCCTGGAGGAGAACATCCATTGAGGATGAGCAATGATTGCAGAGCATGGCAACAAGCAAACTTAAGCTCCTTGACAAGATTGGATGTCACTTATCATTCTTTCACACGTACATGACTGTGTCATCTTTCTGTACATGGCCTACATTGTTAACTGTGATTGAATTGTGAAGGATGATGTTTTCTGTATTTGTTGCTCAGGTATTGAACAAGAATGGAAGCTTGCACAAAGCAGCATGGAAGCTGCTTCAAGTGGTTTATTTTCTGCCACTAACGAGCTTTGCATTGCTTCTCTCAAAGCAAAGTCAGCTTCAGGTTTTGTGCGTCTCCTTGTGTTAAATTGGTCACATCCTTTTATTAAAGTATTACATTATATGTTTTCTTCATTGGCAGATGAGTTGCAGAAAACCATACTTGCCATGAGGGACTGTGCATATGAAGCTAGCATTGCACTATCTGCTTATGGTCGAGTGTCAAGGGGTCATACAGCTTTGACATCCGAGTGTGGTTCCATGCTTGAGGAGGTTTGATGCTTGGTTCATTTGATACTTCCAATTATCCACAGTGCTCTTCATAGCTGCAAAATTTGGCATCATGTGGTGTATAATTTGTGACTTTCTTCTAAGAGTATAACCAATCTCTACATGATCATGACAATTATTGAATGTCAGCTATTGTTGTGCATATTTGAGGCTCTAAAGGCCAAACATATGGGTGCCACTCTCGACTCGAGCCCTTGACACATGCTTAGCCTGTTTCTTGTGCAGGAATATCTTCGAAGTTCTATCTTTTCTTGAAAATTGCTTGTTCTGACATTAAGACATTCGACGATAGAAGTCCCCCTGCCGTAACCCTTAAAGCTAGCCAGAATGATTAACAAGTCTTATGTTGCTTATCCATTTCTGTTTATTCTTTACCCTGTACCCATTAGACAAATATTTTGAATTTACCAAGGATATTGAAAAGAATGGCTTCATTGTTAGCTGCTAGTTGATTTCAAATTACCTAGGCATGAAAGATGTTTTTGTCATCCTACTTTACTTATTATTTGGACTATATCTTTTCCTCTTGCAAAGGAAAAGGCAAAGAAAAGTTATAGTTGCGTTGATTTTTCTTGGTTTATATGATCTTTAACTAGGATACCTGGTCTCCTTCATTGTATGAGTCACTTCATTTCAAACAAGTTTTTAGAGGTATTATGAGCTTCTTGAGTCTGCATTGGGTTAAAAGAACAAGAGCTTATTAACTGGTTATTTTAATCAGTTGAGCGTTTTTTAAAATAAAAACTGTCAGTTCAAAGCGTATTTGCTTATGGTGGTTGATACAATATGAATATGACAATTGGTACGTGATGAAGATTACCATTTAAGTTTTTGAGAACACTAATTAAATGATAATGAGACATCTGCTCCTGATCTCCAGCCAGTGAAATTCCCTTTTGTACTACTGCATTCATAGCTGATCACAACTTATTGGAATAGTAACTTTCCAAGCATCTTCTCAATTCTTCATGTGGCCACTGAACTTTGAATTTCTCTTTAGGTTTTGACAATAACTGAAGATCTACACGATGTGAACAGTCTAGGAAAGGAAGCTGCTTCAATGCACCATTCTCTAGTGGAAGGCCTTATGAAGGTTTTTCTTGACACCCTATGCTTTAATTTTTCAATTTACCTTTTTCCTTTTAAGTCCAGGAACAGTATATGTAAATGATGAAATGACTTGTCTTTTCACGATCTTTTTATTTTTCTGTGGGGGAACAGGCAAATGCAATCCTTCTGCCACTTGAATCAATTTTGTCCAAAGATGTAACTGCTATGACCGATGCTATAGCAATGGAAAGAGAGAGCAAAATTGAAATATCACCCATTCATGGACAGGCCATATATCAGTCTTATCGTGCAAGAGTTGGGGAAGCTTGTCAAGCCTTGAAGCCATTGTTACCAGCCCTTACATCATCTGTGAAGGGACTTCTCTCTCTCTTGACCAAGCTTGCGCGGACAGCAAGTCTTCATGCAGGAAATCTCCATAAGGTAAAGTTTATTTGACCAGCTAGGTTTGTGCCCTTGTTAACTCTTTGCTCCCGTTCATTGCAATTACCACTTGACCTAAGTAAGCCTCAACTTGCATTCTCTACAGGCTCTTGAAGGTGCAGGAGAAAGTCAGGAAGAAAATTTACTGAGAACTGATTTGTCAAGGCCAAATTTTTCAGGCAATGCCTCTTCCTTCAATGACAGGGAGGAGGAATTAGCAGCACCTGATGAAGAAATCACGCAGGATTTTGTGAGCCTTGCCGGACTTTCTTTGCAAGATAAAGGATGGGTATCTCCACCAGACAGCATATGCACTAGCAGCTTGGGATCCTGTGTTTCCTCACCTGAAGCAAGTATTGCAGATAGTTTAAAAGACCTAGCAGAAGACATCAACTCTAGCTGCAGAGATGATGGGGCTATATGTACGGATACTTCATCCCACAGTGATCCCCGACAGATCGCTAAAATTACACATGAAGGGGCCAAATGTAGCCAGAGTATTCCTGTAATACCACTTACAGGTGGGACAACTGAGCAACCGAATGATGGGGCATCTACAAGGGATCAAGATATAGCTTTCCCTGTTTACACTTCAGACACCTTGAATAAGGAAACAGAGCTGGAGTATAGAGGTAAAAATAAGATGCCCTCTTCCCGAAATATCATCGATGATGGATGTAGTGAAGCTCCTAATCCCAATGGCCATGCTGGTGGTCGAGTTGCCAGGGGTAAGTATTGCATCTTTGTACTTTCAACTTTTTCTTAGAAGTCTTTGCAATGGTTTTCAAATTCTTTTCCTCGTCTGAGCGTTTTTTCGGTCGGCCTCTCCTGGCTGAAACTTGAATATTTTTCTTTCTTAACTTCCAATCACAGTAATTGTTAGCTTTAGCTGAACTGAAACCTGGATCCAGATCTCAACCCTGAAAGATTGGATTTTAGTTTTGTCAACCAGTGACTGTCGAAGTTTGATAAGCTAACATGCACAGGTTATGTGATTTGATGTCTAATGTCATAAATGAATGAAACTTACAACTGCATTTCAGCAAAAAATTCATTTCTTCAACAGTTCAACTTCAGTTTTGTTTGATGTGCCTGACCCAATTTTTCAGCCTATGTTTTGTTGTTACCACGAGAATTTGGGCACACGCAAATACATAGTGGTGAAAGGGAGTGGGTTCCTTTTCACCTACCTTCTCTGGCAACCAGGATAATTTTCTATTATGAATTTGTGGTGGAAAAGAAATGGATGCTAGAAGGTCACAACTTTCCCAGTAGACACTGATACAGGGCTCATACTAGTTCACGAAAGTTTAATATGTTACCACTTGGCCTTATTCGACGATTAACTAACTCGCTTTGTCTAATATTCTAATCAGTTGAATTTGTTCTTTCATTTCTGGAATTGTTGATCTGATAATATTTCTCTGGTTCTCTGTTACGGCTTTTTATGTCTCGTATTTATCAAAAAGTATGTATTTGAATTGGGTCATAATCTTATTTTTTACATTCTCGGTCATCTGTAGGTAAAAATGCTTACGCATTGTCAGTACTGAGGCGCATAGAGATGAAACTAGATGGCCGAGATATTGATGAAACCAGGTAAAATTTTTGTTGATTCTTCATACTCTGTGATAATTTTGTATTAACAGCAACGTATTTTATTGTCAGAGAAGTGAGCACAGCGGAGCAGGTGGATTATCTAATCAAGCAAGCTTCTAGCGTGGATAACCTTTGCAACATGTATGAAGGGTGGACACCGTGGATTTGAGTTTGTGACGACAGCGATTCGGATGGGATTTGGGAGCTGCATTCTCAAAACATCACATGGTGCAATGTGCAGCACACTGCATTTGCATGCAAATTCCAACTTCTGAAGTCAATGGAGTCAAAATGGATTCGAGCAACACTGGGAATAAGCAAATGGTGTGTCAAAGTGCTGGTTAAACTTGTCTCAAATCTCGCTGTGTCTGGTGGGTGAGTTGCAGCACATTGATTGCCAGGTCCATTTAGCACTTTGGTTTGGGTTTGGACTGGGAATATAATTTCTGCTCATCCTGGATTGAGAATAGCTCCAAATTACTTGGACTCGCATCGAGAGACACCATGTGATGGGAGTGCTTTACGCCTCTCCTCTCTCCCTGGGAACTGGTGGTCTCTTGGAGTCTCACGGCAAGAAGTTCTCGTCTGGTTTTTCTTCTTTTGATGATGATGGCAGTACGAGGACTTGAAGATCAGCCATTTAATTTCCTGGTTCCATTAGTTGGATATCGTTCTGTAGCCGGAGGAGCCTTCTAGGTTCTCGATTGGTTTATAGAGTTGGAAAGATGGACAGCTGTGGAGGCTCACACCGCACGTTGCGAAGGCTAATCCGTTGGCTGGAGAATGATGGCCAGGGCATGTCCAGTGGGAAAGCAGCCAAAAGAAGGATTACTGCTCCCAGGAACAATTCATCGTATCACATCGGAACGGTTGCGGCCCATCTGGAGATTCATGGGGTTCAGGTTGGTCCACCGTTCCCTCCAATTTTAGGACAATCTCTTTAGTTTAGTGAAAATGGGTGATTGCTGCATGTCGAGCACTTCAGTTCGTCCCGTTTCTCTTGCATTCTCAGTGATAACGCGTCTGCAGGCCGAGTTACGAGCAACTGGAGTGTGTTGCGTCTTTTGTAGTTAAACTATGTTTTTACCAAACTGTCGCCTTATTATACGAAATTGTTCCCGCCTTTTGAATCATATGTTATCAGATATTTCGAATAGGAAGTTCGCTTAATACAATCCGCAGTTATTGCATAGAGTCGTTAGAGATTCATAATCTCCTGGCGTCCTGCAATTGTTGATTGTGATGCTAACATCTTCTTCTTGTGGTGTATCCGATGGGTGGAAAATGATTATCCTTCTCTACCAGCAAGAGATGGATCGATTTTCCTAGTTTTCAAAATATTTCTTTAGCATTTTCTCTCACCCTCCCCTTTTATCCGATAATATTAGTTCAAATTTAGCGAGATTGCCCAAAAATACCAAAAAAGGAAACGGAAAAATCGCCATATCTTTTCTAGCGATTATTTGGCAACTTTTCAAATCTCAACTAAATTTTTCGACCCAAAAAAAAAAAAATCTCAACTAAATTCGATCCACTTATGACGATAGATTTCACTTCTTGATCAACATATGAAATTTAACACCGTTTTCTTATATATACATAATTAGACAACAAACAAGTATGGAGAGAGTTTATATAAGTCCAGATCGGGACAACTTTCCCGTGAGTTTCGTGCATTTCCGTCGGTTACGCGCAATTACAGAAACGATATTATATTTACTACCTCAAATTGTACGAGCCTATATATATATATATGACGACTTATGCGTTTTTGACCCTCCAAAAAGCCGTACGTGGATTTTAATAATCCATAGACATAGGTCGGTCGATACCATTTGCTTGCACTGGTTTTCCCCTCCTTTCTCCCCCTCCTGAAGCGACAGCAGAAGAGGGAAACGCAAGAAAAAGAGTTGCAGAAAACCAAGGGACGATCTCTGAGAGTGAGAGCACACAGATACAGAATCAACCGTATTCTGTCCAAAAACCACCCGGCTAACTTCCCTATAAAACCCCAACTTAGATAAACAACCTTTCACATCTCATCATCATCCGACCAACTCAAACCAGCTTCGGTTTTCTCAGCCACCGTCTCCCTCAGTGAACTGGAATTCTGATAGTTCTGAGAATATCCGCCATGTCTGGGGTCGTGGACAAGTGGACCAGGAAGGTACGCGAAAAAGGTCAAGCCATATTCTCAGCTGGCTCGGCAAACTCGGCCAGGGAAGCCGCCGGTCAGGCGGAGACCGGGAGCTCGGGCTGGCTGTCTCCGGTGTTCGGCCGAGTCAAGCAAGTCAGGTCGCCAGCTCTCCTCTGCTCTGAGGCCTCAGTTTGCATGCTTGTGGAGTGTTTCAGCCCTTGAAATCGCAGACCGTACTCGGCTTGGCTCAGCCAAGCTTTCGCTCCATCTTTTTGGGTTTGTAATTGTCTCTGTATATGCTTGCTTTCCAGATGTAACAAGAAACAATGCTTCTTTTTTCAACTGATAACGTTAACTGCTCTTGAGTTTTCTTATTATGTTTCCTGGAAATTACAAGAAGATGGAGTGTCCATTAAGCGTGTAAGAATAGTCCAAGCCTCCACGTATTGATTACGTGTAGGGATTGCCTTAATTTCCACCTCCCGCATTTCCAAGAAGATGAATTTCATTTTCGGCATGTTGGAGGGTGTCCCATTCACCGTTCTGTGCCATTTTGAAGAATCTTAATCCTGATCTGAATGATTTCAGAAGTTTGAAACAGTGGACGGGAGAGATAAAAGATCAACCATCTGAGTCGGTGGGTCATTGCAAGTGCGCGAATCCAACTACTCCTAGCTAGTCCCAAATTGAATTGGGTCCACTTTTTCCTGTGGATTAAGCAATTCCTGGGGGTTAAGATTAGGCACAAGCACCAGATACAGTAGCCAGAATTTTAGCGAATTAATTTGGATATACTTCGCTAAAAAGTGTAACCAGATCTCCTCGTCACCTGGAAAGACACATGAATTCAACCCGACTGCTCCTTAGCTAGTCCCAAATTGAATTGGGTCAACTTTTTCCTGTGGATTAAGCAATCTGTGGGTCGGGACTAGGCATCGGCACCAGATACAGTAGCCAGAATTTTAGCAAGTTAATATGGATATACTTCGCTAAAAAATGTAACCAGATCTCCCTTTCACCTGAAAAGACACATGAATTCAACCAAATATTCAATTGGGCGAATAAAAAACTATCCATGGCCCAAAACCACGGACTTGCTATATTTCAAAGCCAAGAGGGTATCGCTATACTACGGATCTCATCACCCAATAGATGAACTCAACTGCCATATTGACCTCAACCCTGGATTGGAATTTCCTCAAAGATCCTAAATGATACTTCTCCAACATCAAGACTGGTTCGTCAAATAGTACCAAAAAACTTATCAATATCAAAACTTGGCTTCATACATGTACTCTGACTTGGCATTCACAATCCAATCACGTCTCTGCCCCCAGGATAAAACGAAGCCGTTATTTTAGAATATTCTCGAGTGATATCCTTCACCTTGTCCCTCACGTTTTGACAGTATTCATGGCCACCGAAGGACATCAATTATTGCTCTCTCACACGAAACAGGACACTTTTATGGTCTTCTTCAACCAACCCATCATTCTTTCTCTTCTTTTATTTATACCCATTTGCTTCTCTTCTGAATCAATGCACCAAAATTAGTAAAGGTCCAAACTTTCGATCCCATCAAGAACTCGCGCTACTTTCGATCAAGAAGTGTTCCTTTGCTCGTGGTCAAGATGTCTGCACTGGTGGAGATGTGGGAGAATGAGCTGGGAAAGCTAAGAGAGAAGGTCTGGTTCAAGAAGTTAGCCTTGCACAAATCAAAGCAGGAAGATGAAGTTGCCAATAAAGGAGGAGAAGTCGGAGACAATAAGGACAAGGCAGAAGGCACAGGCGTCCAGAGAGAGACCACATTGTCCGAGGACACTCTCTTTTTGCTTATGGATCGTTTTACCCCCTCGTAACAATTGCACAGATGTTTTCTCCTGTATAAAGTTTCAATGATAATTTATTGGGGATATGCATGCGGGATCTATATGCATAAAAGTTCAGGTTATGCGCCAATTAACGCCCTTTGAAGATTTAAGCCGATACTTTTGCTTGGCTTATTCTCAACCAGTGCGATTATAATTCACCTATAACCACCATAAACTCGATAAAATCAAACCACCTGACAGATGAAGAAGATACGGTAATCCCCGGATTCTTTCGAGTGACGCGAAGCCTACTCTTTCACCCATTACAGTATGAGGCTCCAGCGTCAGGAATGTGAATCGGCAAGTATATTCAAGTATAGACCCTGTTTCTATAATCAATATGGAAAACGATATGGCCAAATTAGTTCTCTCATTCATTCATCCAGAGAACAGTTTACTGTAAGAGACGCATTTCATTCTACATTTACATGAGTACATCTTCTGAATGCATCACAAGAAAGAACAAAAAATCGAAGCTATTCCACTTCATATGATTTACGTATGTGCCAGTATATATCGACTAAAGTCTATGGAGCCACGCCTTCTTAATTAGGCATAACCAGACTGTTGCCGATTGTGAGAGTGAAAACCTATAAAAGAGACCAAATAACTAAGAGGTGCTTGTCTCCAAACTTGCAGAAGATTCCTCGTTGATGATTGTGATATCTTCTTCGTCCCAATTCATAATGTCCCTCGCATACTTAAGAGATTCATCTACACTATCCTGCTCAAGTCCTGTAACTAGGGACACATGCAGCTTGCGTTCGGTAAGCGAATGGAAGAGCCATTTGAACTTCGCTGCCATGTAGTGGAAAGCACGTTGTGCCAATGAAGGAGCCGGATTAACATAAGTCCCATTATTGTGGTCATGGCTGATCACTGGATGGAAATCACAAAACCATTCACATTGAGTTAAAGGAGACTGCTCAATCTTTTCTTCGAGCAGATCGAACTTGTTCATAATCAAAAGGAAGTCCTTTTTATAGAAGGTCGGATGAGTGATGATGCTTTCAAAAAGCTGCTTGCTTGCCATCATCTTGTTTACCGGTAATCCTTTATTGTCCTCATAGAACTCGTCGTAGTCTGTCAATGAGATGCAGAACAAGACGATATTAACGTCTTCAAACATCTCCAACCACTTGCAGTTTTCCCCTAGGCTTCTAGGATGCACCCGGATGAGTTGGTACCTACAGATTCAAGCAAGCTATGTCATATAGAGTATAATTTACCGAAATTCTGCAAACTCTGACCAGTGCGCTCCTGCCAATTCAAGTAAATTGCTCGCTTAATTTGCCAAACATCATGTATCAACCTGACTGACCATACTTCGATAGTTTGATGAACTGACAAGTAGTAGCTGATGGTGATTTTCTATCTAGTGCATTTTGGTGTGACATTTGTCCGAGGAGCAACAATGAAGAAACAATTAGGTCCAGAGCACAAAAATGCCACTTAAATCTACCAAATTGTCTGATAACAGTTCTTTCCGGTATATTAAGAGAACACACAATTATTGTTTTAGCTCCTAAAGTTTTGGCTGTCGTCTCAGATAGTAAACTAGTTAAACTGCAGGCCCATTTAGTAGCTTATCATTGATTGCTATACAGGCTAGTCCTAGCACTTAATCAATTAAATTTGGATGAAAAATAGCTGATTTACCAAATTCACTCAACCATATTCAAATTTGTGGTTGACAAAATCAACAAGCAATGTGTAGTGAAGAAGATTGTACGTCATCTTGCCGTAGCACTGATCAATAGAGCCTATGATGTATCCATCTGATTTTGCTGGCGTGGGAAATGAAAATTCCATGCTAGCAAGACCATTAGAAGAGGTGATTCCCTCTGCATACAGAATATCCATATCAGAGGGCTCGTACTCTTCTTTTGAAATCTCAACAGCCTGATAAGAAAGAGAGTCTAAGTTGACGAGACAGAGCAGTCAAATCTGTGACTATATTTGCACAGAATACAAAGCTGGAATCAAATATGTCTAGGACATTGAGAAAGTGCCTTTTTTGTAATAGTTATTTCAATAAAAAAAAAACATATTTTGCAACGTAGGTGAAATCGTGATTTATTATCAACTCTGGAAGCATACAAAAAATGGCAAACCCACAAGAAAGGTACAAGGACAGGAAAAGGATCTTTTTTAAGACTAGAACTGCAAGATAATCAGAACA